TTTTTGATAATGGTTTACTCCACAAATTCTCGAAACGGCGTCGAAAGTACTCGGGTAGCTACAGATGGAGATGAAAAATTCCAGGGGTCAAAGGTCACTTAGACACAGGTAATAGTAGGCCACAAGTAACGGGCTTTAATCGTTGCTTGGGCTCGTACAGAATTTATCACTAGCTGAAATATAAGGGGGAAATAAACTAGGGAATTATTAACCAGTAATACGGCAGGTTAACATTGACACATATATTGAAGTTAACTATTTACAATAAAAAGAAAAGATTTAATATTTCAACGCCCACCCCAGTTGTGGTGAAAGTCAATATAACCCTGAATATATATATAAAAAAAAACGGACGGTATTAATTCGCGACTAGTCTCAATCAGACGTCAAAAATTAAATCAAAATAAAATATATGTTTCGGTCGCAGAAAAAAAAAATATTAACTTGGCTTTTTACTCGTTAGATAACTGTTTAACCGCGGTATCGGGAATTTAAACTCAAATGTAGTTATTTTGCACTTTACGTGAGGAAAAATTAAATAAACGGTCGAAGAGAGTGCGAGGAGACAGGGACGCGAAATAATTACTTATAGTAAAGACACGGAAAGAAAATAAAAATAAATTTATACCCGGGGTAGCCTATTATCCCAGAATGAGCTGATCGTCATCACGAGCCCGCTCCAGACAGGGTAATGAAGCTATTTTTAAATTCTGCAAATTGCAGTTTGCACGAAAAAAAAAATGAAGAACATAAAGGGGAAAAAGAAATCTAACGCGGATAGCCCCTAGTCCAAGAATGAACTGATCGTCATCACGAGCCCGTTCAGACAAGGACAGGACACTATTTAAAATTATTTAAATTGTCGAAAAAAAAGAAAAGTAAATTATTATCGGAGGGAAGAAAATTTACTAACGCGGATAGTACCTACTCCAAGAGTGAACTGATCGTCATCACGAGCCCGTTCAAACAGGACAGGATACTATTTGAAATTATTTAAATTGACGGAAAAATATAAAAACAAATTATTATCGGAAGGAAGATAATTTACTAACGCGGATAGTACCTACTCCAAGAGTGAACTGATCGTCATCACGAGCCCGTTCAAACAGGACAGGATACTATTTGAAATTATTTTAATTGACGGAAAAATAAAAAAAAAATTATTATCGGGGGGAAGAAAATGTCTCCTCGAAAACTCCGTTTATAAATATTCACAACTTAATTACAACGCGGTACCTACTAAACAAAAGTATTTATGAATAAAGTCAAATTTAAATCCCGATTTAACCTTTAATCAAAAGAAAAGGAATAATTTCTTAAAACCGACTAACAATCAAAAGTCTAAAATCCCCGGTTTTACAATATTACAGAATTAAATCCTATCAATTAATATTTAATCCAAATTATATCCCTTTTTAAAGAAACGGAATATTTGTCAAGAAATAAATTCAAATGTTTCTAACTAAACCCTATTTATAAAAACAAAAGAAACGGTATTATTTGCTAAGAAACAAATTCTATTATTTATTATTTAAATCAAATTAATTATTTTAACTAAACCCCATTTATAAAATAAAAATAAAGACGCGGTATTATTTGTCAAGAAACAAATCCTATTAATTATTATTTAAATCAAATTAATTCTTTTAACTAAACCCAATCTATAAAATAAAAATAAAGACGCGGTATTATTTGCCAAGAAACAAATCCTATTATTTATTATTTAAATCAAATTAATTCTTTTAACTAAACAGTATCTATTAAAAATATTCCTATTCCTACAAACTAATTCGCTATTTAAAATGAAATACTGTTTTAATTGCAAATGTAAAAAGCGGAACAGGGTTTTTTACCTAACGGATTCGTAAATATTGAAAATGAAAAAAAATATCGGCGGTGTTTAGATTTCTACTGCGGCTTATCGGACTGAACTTCTTGCAATCAAAATTTATATCGAACTGATAATTTTAATAGCATCTCCGCTATCGTTCAAACAAATGTCCCTCTCCCAATCGAAAATCCCACTTACGTTCAAAGCTATCGCGCATCAAGAATTTGAGTGGCGTTCGCGCATCTGAAAATTAGCAGTTCAACCGCGATTAATATTTATTAATAATGAAAAATGAAAATAAATTTATTGAGAAAAATTGACTTCATTACATCCCCCCCTCACTTCGGAAAGAAAAATAAAGGTGAACATCGTTTGCCTTTATTTTTCCTTTATCCGCCTACCTAATTATTACAAAACTAATAATAAAATTTACAAACTGAAAATATAATTTTCTCTCTTCTGTTTCGGAGTCAAAACCATACCATTTCCATACCATACCAAATCGTCGGACTCGGAACTACCATTGTCGGAAACATTTGAGGCCGACAGTGCGGCGTCGTGGACGTAGGTCTACCTGTACTCCAATCGATCGGTACCTTCCAGACGGTATAGGGGCGGCGACGGCGGGTGAGGTTGGTGTCTAAGCTGACTCGACGGCCGGTTTCAGGTCTTTTATGTACACGTGATTGATTCTCTTTCCTGCAGCATCTTTGAGGTTGTAGACGACGGGGGATACGACCTTGATAACGGTGTACGGATCGGAGTATTTCGGAGCTAATTTTGCAGCCACATGATCTACGGCTGATGACAACGTATGTTCTCGCTTCATCACTAGATCACCAATAGTGCACCTCCAGTCTCGTCGACGCAGATTGTAGTAATGAGCCTGCGAGGTAAAAGCTCGGGACAAATTGAGACGGGCTAGGTCAAAACACTCTTTGAGTTTTCCTAGTCTCTTGACAAAATTTTCGGGACTTTCCACATCAAGCGGTACGGTTTCGGCGGATTGGTAACTGCTCTCAACTTCTTGTCGTAGGGATTTGGGGATCACTAACTCCCTCCCAAAATTTAAGAATGCTGGAGAAAAACCAATTGATTCGTAACGGGATGTGTTAATTGCAAATTTTAAATCGGACAAATGGAGATCCCAATCTTGATGATTGTCCTCGCAAAACTGTGCTATCATTGTCTTTATGGTTCGGTTTGCTCGCTCTACGGGGTTAGCTTGCGGTGTGTAAGCCGGTGTACATCGATGACGGATTCCTAACTCTTTTAGAACGGATTCAAAGAGTTTGCTTGTATATTGTGTGCCATTATCGGTTATGACTTCTTTTGGACATCCAAAAGTTGTGACGATGTCGTCATAGAAAACGGTGCTCACGCTCTTTGCTGTGGCAGTTCGAATAGCCTTACATTGCACCCACTTGGTAAATCTGTCCATAAACATGACGATATATGCATTACCCCTTTTACTCCGGGGTAGCGGTCCAACAAGATCTGTACTAACAACTTCCCATGGTTGACTATTCGGTGATGGGTTCATCTTCCCCGGCGTCTGTTGTTGTGACGGTTTGTATTTCTGACATTGTAAACAACTTCGGACATATTTGGTAATGTCTCGGAACATTCCAGGCCAATAATATTCTCTAGCTATGCGGGTAATAGTTTTGGCGATTCCGGCATGGCCTGCGGTCGGCGCATCATGGTTTTCTTTCAGAACGCGGTCTCTTTGCGGTTTTGGTATGCATAACTTCCACGGATCGGACAACTCTGGTTCTTTGTAATCATTTATGTCCCAAAAATGACGATATAGGCGGTTTTCTTTCATGCAAAAATCGGGATAATCGGTCGGTAGGGTTCCTTTCAACCTCGGCTTTCTTAGATGAATACCATTTGCAGTTGGTATCTTCATCCTCGGCGCACACATCTGGTGTGTCTGACATAGTCTGAATTTCTGGCAACGGATTTCTGGATAATGCATCAGCTATTCGGTTTAGTGCTCCTTTTCGGTATTTGATGTCAAAATCGTACTGTTGCAAGAAGATGCTCCATCTTGCAAGACGGCCGGACGGACTCACAATTGAATGCAACCATTTCAGTGATTGGTGGTCGGTAAGTACGGTGAAGTGGTATCCTTCTAGGTAAGCTCGCATCTTTTCAATACCCAAGACTATAGCGAGGCATTCCTTTTCTGTAACTGAGTAGTTCCTCTCGGCCGGACTCAGAGTTCTACTGGCATATGCGATGACATAGTCGATGCCATCCTTTTTCTGTGTCAGCGCTACTCCTAAACCATGATCAGAAGCATCAGTTTGTAACGTGAACGGTACGGTAAAATCGGGACAACTGAGTATCGGTGCCTCAGTCAAAATAGTCTTTAATTTTCGGAATGCGGTTTCTTGTTTTTTCCCAGCGCCACTTGTACGCCTTTCGCAGTAACTTTGTGAGTGGAGCTACCACCTGTGAGAAGGACGGGACAAACCTGCGGTACCAGGATGCAACTCCCAAAAATCTTCGCTCAAAGCCCGCGATAAAATCTATGCAATAGCTTAATAATGAAATAGTTAACACTGATAAAATAAAAATTAATATTTTATAAATCTTGCAAAAAAAATTAATATCTAATATTTACGCCAGCCGGGAACATTTGTGATACCAATTTATTAGAAGCCAGAGGAAGCTCTTCTAGTTCTTGTATTGCATAAACGTTCCAGTCCGCAGACGTATATTTAACTCCGCTTCATACTAATACGAATAGGGTCGGATAAAACCTTCCATGACTTTCAAGTTGAAAGTTTCAACGCCGCACCGCTGTGCCAGGTCGGAGTGGGGGGTGTTAGGTTTATTTTCGTTACGGTGTTACGGAATTTCTTGATTCGGTCGCCGCGCTCAAAGCCCGCGATAAAAGCCATGCAATAGCTTAAAATATGTGATGCACTTAATTTCGAACGATTGCATGCAATTTTATGAACATATATTTAGATGAGCATTGACCACAAGCAAGATAATTTATTCCCTCCAATGGAGGATAACAAGAAACACACTTTCTCAAATAAGATTTATTATTTAAAAATAAGTACAGATATCTTTCACTTAGAATACAAACTAATAAAAATATAAAATATCAATACCACAAAAAATACAGTTGTAGTTTTTTTAATCACAGTTCCTTACATATAAATTCACAATCTTGTTTTATTTAAACCTCTTCTTCTTTATAAACGGCGCCAAATTAGACATATCTCCTTCAGGAGGCATAGTAACGACTCCAGGAGAAGCAGATGTTATAGAATCTTCCATTCCTTCTTCTAACGTTTGTAAACTGAAAAGAATGAATTCTTAATTAATAATTTATGTGCTGTTTAATTAAAGTAACTTTTATATCATTATTGATTAACTTGTGAGGCAGGTAGCTGGTCTGAAATCCTTTTGAAATCATCCTTCGATCGGATCAGTGACAGAAATAACAGTTGGTCAAAGCTACACTATATGCAAATTACTGAAAAAAGACCAAGACCTTTAAATTGGCAGGAATTTACTCAACCATTCTGATAATGGAGCAACCAAATGAAGTCTAAGTTTTAAGAAAAGAGGTCTAATGTAAAGGAAAGTAAAGACCCTCTACTAAGTTTTTAGATACAAAAAATTATATACATTTTTATTAAAAAAAAATCGTGCCGATTTAAGACTAAAATTAGTAAAATATATTTGTAAAAAGCTCAACAACGTACGTTACGTACTTCTCTTCTGCTTCTAAACTATGCAAAAGCTGTAGACCTGATTCTAACACAGATGAATCCCCTTCAAAAGATGAAAAATGAAATTCTGGATTGTCTGATTCTTTAGCATCAGCATCATCTTCTACTTTTGCTCTGACAAAACTGAAACAAATTAATATAAATATTCAAAAAAAAAACATTTTATGTACTAAAAAATTAACAAAATCATAAATAAGTAAAAGGAACAATTGAATATAGAGTTTTGTTGGACAATAGATAAATTAAAATGCAAAAAAGTAATCAAAAGCCGCCTATTTAATACTATTATTTCCAAATAAAAAAAAAAAGAATTGAAAATCTTAATATAAAATATGAAAAAATAGATTTAAAATCAATGATATATTCAGGGTCCACAAGTACTGGTTTTTTCACCTAAGTTTGTTTCAAGTGAAAATTCTATAATTTTAGGTTTTTGAGATGTTTCTTTTAGAATTCACAATTTTACTAATCAACTCTTAACTGAAAGGGTGCAAAAATTAGTGTATTAGTTAATGAATACGTGTTACAGATTTTTAAAGCATGTAGAACATGCAAAAATAGAGTGAAAAGTTCATATAAAGATGTGCTCTTGGAGCTTTGGTTTCGAAGCTAGAGCTCTTTGAAGACGGCGTCTTCAGGTCAATTTTGTTCAAATATCTTCAGCACACCGCCCTTAAAAAATATTAAACTTGGCAGGGTTAGTAAACTTTAGATGGTGATTCTCCTGGTGTTAATTAGATTTTTCTAACACGATCATAAGCGTCTCATTTGGGGGGGCTACGGATATTTTCAGTATTTTTTTTTTCTCTGTCACTTTTTGACATTTTTGATATTGAATTAAGAAACTTTATAGTTTTCTCTAAAAAATAGGTACTCTTGTTTAGAGTCAACCAGATGCACCGTTTTAGAGAAAACTCGATGTTAATTTGTCCTGTTTTCTTATTTTAGCTCCTGCATTTATTACTAGTAATTACTAGAAATTAAAGTAGGCTGCGGAATTTTATGATTATTTACCTGTCAAATTGTTTGTAGTTTTCATTATTGACATTTACATCTATTTACATATTTGTTGTGTAGAGATAAAATGAATGAACATACTTTTAGTGATTATGGTAACATGTTAGTAATTTATGGCGAAGCTCATTGTATAGGCCGAGTTGCTCGCCGTTTGTACATAGAACGATATCCAAATCGCCCAGCTCCATCTCATAAAGTGTTTGCAAGACTTTTACAGAGACTGAAGAATACAGGAACATTAAGAATCGATAGGATTAACTGCGGAGTTCAGAGAAATCGCCGAACCATAAGGTTTGAAGAACAAGTGCTTCAGAGAGTGGCACAAAAACCATCCACTAGCACTCGAAGTACTGCTCGTGCCTTGGGTGTAAATCATGTAAGTGTTTGGCAAGTTTTACGAGAGCAACTACTTTACCCCTATCATGAACAAAGGGTACAGCATTTAACTCCAGCAGATTTTGCACCACGAATTAACTTTTGCCGTTGGTTTACCCAACGTTGTTTATTAGAACAACATTTTATAAGGCGTGTGCTGTTTACAGATGAGGCATCATTTACCAGAGAAGATATTATTAATTTACATAACAACCACGTTTGGTCCGAAGAAAATTCTCACTCTATTCATTCAACGAAGTTTCAACATAAGTTTAGCGTCAATGTCTGGGCTGGTTTTATTGATGGATATTTAATTGGTCCTTACCTTCTTCCAAATCGCCTAACTGGTCCTATTTATTTGGTATTCTTGCAACAAGTGTTGCCGGATTTGTTAGATGACATGCCGGTAGAAATTTGTCATGAAATGTGGCTTCAACACGACGGTGCCCCAGCACACTATTCGCTCGATGTTCGACGTTACCTCAACCAAACATTTGTTGAAAGATGGATAGGCCGAGGAGCACCAGTGGCGTGGCCACCCCGCTCTCCGGATCTCACACCATTAGATTTTTTGTGGGGTTATATGAAGACTCTCGTGTATGAGACACCTGTCGAGTCAGAAGAGGAATTGATTGCTCGGATTTTAGCTGCAGCACAGCAGATTCAAACAATGCCTGGTCTTTTGGAAAGGGCTAACCAAAATATGATTAGAAGATGCAATGCTTGTATTGAGGTTGATGGTCGTCATTTCCAACATTTATTGTAATATTTAACCATAAATAAATTATAGTTTTGTTGATTTCTCAGAGCCTACTTTCATTTCTAATAATAAATGCGGCAGCTAACATAAGGAAACAAGACAAATTAAAATCGAGTTTTCTCTAAAACGGTGCATCTGGTTGACTCTAAACAAGAGTATCCTTTTTTTAGAAAAAACTATAAAGTTTCTTAATTCAATACCAAAAATCTCAAAAAGTGACAGAAAAAAAATACTGAAAATATCCGTAGCCCCCCCCCCCCCCCCCAAATGAGACGCTTATGATCGTGTTAGAAAAATCTAATTAACACCAGGAGAATCGCCATGTAAAGTTTACTAACCCTGCCATGTTTAATATTTTTTAAAGGAGGTGTTCTGAAGATATTTGAAAAAAATTGACCTGAAGATGCCATCTTCAAAGAGCTCTAGCTTCGAAACCAAAGCTCCAAGCGCACATCTTTATATGAACTTTTCACTCTATTTTTGCATGTTCTATATGCTTTAAAAATCTGTAACACGTATTCATTAACACCCAATATAGAAGAAACAAATTTTATTTTCACCTTTTAGTTTTCTTCTTTTTTGTTTGCAGAATGTAATTTTTTAATATTACAAGTTTTATAAGTTTTGCTTTACCTATTAATAATAATTTTTGACATATATGAACTAAAAACTTTAAAAGCCTTAACCAAAAAACGTACTTATATTTTTTAATTCTTAGGTTTTTCCAACCCCGGAAACAAAATTTGTTTATAAATGCATTGTGTTATTCATTATTTTAGATAGTATTTTGATCTTTTTATTTAAATGTCTATTTCTAAAAACACAAGTCACAGACTCTTTAAGCCTTACATATTTCATTTTAATGTTGAAAAAAACATCTGAAAAAATATTAATTCATTTAAACTGCACCATGTTTTCAAAAATATGATAAAATCAATGCTCATCATTTAATAGTATTACAGTAGGTATCTAGTTAAATCTGTAAAAACTTTTAAGTAGGTTAGCCAAGAATCTAGTATTTTTTTTTGTATAATTAAAATGAATTAAAAATGAATATGTGATACTTTTATTGTTAGCAACAATAGCAACATTGTAAACTGAATAATTATATGGTTTATTATGAATATTGACTCCATGTTTCAGTTTATTAATTACTCAATGTTGTAATTATTTAAGTATTCCTCTGCAAAGTCTAAATTAAATGATGTATACTTATTGACTTTGTATATAAAATGGATAACTTACTAGCTAAATTTTACAGGTGGTGGTGGACTTTTAGGTATTAGAAGAACTGCATAATGATCATTTAATTCTTTACACCTTTTCTTAAGCACGTTTATATATTTGACAACTCTGTTCTGATAATAATCATGTAATCCTTTTACACCGCCCATTCCTGTTTCTGTAAGCACCTTTTCAATGATATTCTAAAAAGTAAGTCATATCATTATAACATTTTCATAATTAAGAAAGTAGTATAATATTTAGAAAGCAACTAAACTTACTGTGAATCTTGATATATCTCCTTTTTCATTTTCTTCAATTGCTTTGACAACCTTACTACAAAATTTTTGTAAAAATGATTCTAATACATCAGTCATCAGGTCTAAAACACTTTGATGAGTTGCTGGAACAGGATAAAAAAATTAAACTGTTTTGTTTCATTTTTAATAACTTACTTTCATATCCAATATGAGCAAACATAGTAACTATACATTTTGTCAATAATTTTTTAACAACTGCTTCACTTAATTCAGGTATTTCAACTTCAGCACCACAACCAAAGTCTCTAAAAACAAAATTTTAAGGTTACAAATAAAGAAAAAGCTAATTGGTTGGTTAGAGAGATTAAGTTTAAAATAAGTGAGGCAATAACTATGCCCCCAATACAACCTATCATGAGATCTTGTGTAAACTGCAAATTGCACAGAACAGATGTCTTCGGCTAGCACTGGGCTACAACTGCTATGCAAGAATTGAAGACATGCACATACAAACTCAGACTCCACGAATCAAGGACTATATACTCGAAACAGCTGAGAATTTCTACAGGCGGTGTCTCCCCGATTATGTAAAAGATGACATCTTTAGCATCTATCGCGGGGACGGCGTGCGTAGAAAACACGGCTGTTTACATTCGAAACTAGACATATACAGACACAGAAACAACAATAATATAACAAATACAATAATTATAACAAAAATACTACAACATTCCTCCTTAACGATCCCAGACAAACTAAACAACAACCCACACTGACTAGATCTAGATACTAACGTAAACCAGTCGGACGGCGGACTGAACGGTAGACTGGCCATCGGAGCAACGAGCGCGAAACCCGCGATTGTTGCCTCGATGGACGGTGTATCGAGCAATCTGCCTGTGAGTTGTATTACTGAACTATAGACTAAACAAACAACTGTACACACAAGGACAACCCTGTTTTTTCTAGCTTTTTCAGGGGACAAAAACCATAACTCAAACGCGACATATCCTTTAACAAATTCCCATTACAGATTCCATAACTATCATAATCCCTCAATAATATCGCATGGTAAGGAGTGAGGGCCGTAATATTTGACCATTTTTTATCAGAATAAGGGGTAGATATAGGTTGGACAAGTCCGGGCGGACTCTAGACCACCACGAAAGGAGAAGATCCCGGTAGTGTTGAAATACTATTCAATATTCTGAACATGTAGATAAACTTTAACGTTGTAAATAAAATCCTTGTTATGTTATGTTATGAGATCTTGTGTGGATCATGATTAATCATTGACCATATAAATATTTTCAAATGATCAACTAAATTCTTTATATCTTCATACTCAACTAAATTATCGTTAAAATTAACTTACGTTAACTCTTTAGGGATAAAGTTAAGGCTATTTGGTTTATGTTTAATGTGAATATCTGGCATTATTGGCATTGGTGGAGCAGCATCTTCAGGTGGTATTAAATTAGTTTCAGTGGCAAGTTCTGCCACTCTTATCATTTCTGTCATATCATTCGCATATTTATGTAAAGATATTGCATAAGTTACCAAAGGGTCTAAAGGAGGTAAACTGAAAAAAAATATACAATATAAAATACTTATACATTCTTTAATACTCATACTTACACTAGGTTATCTACTTTTTCTCTATCTCCATCATCTTCGTATTCTGCTAAACAAAATTTATCCATGGATTTTTCTATATCTGCTGTAACATCAGGAATGAACAAATCATTAACTTGTGGCTCAGTTATTATTTCACCCCAATACTTGGAAGCCATAGCAACCTCTCCTTTCTCCAAAAATGAAAGCAATCAATATTATGGTTTAATTAAGTAATAAAATTAATATTTATGTAAAAATATTTTGAGCGGACGCCACTTCAATATTTACAACCGGCCAAATGACAAATGCCCAGTGTTGCCACACCAATTAATTTTTTCGTAATAGAATTTTGAAGCAAAAGGTAATAAAATCGTAATAGATAATATTTTAAAGTAACATAAAATGTACCAGAACTATTATTAAATACATTTTTCTACGTTCATGCAAAAAACAAAATTTTATTGAACTATATTTAGTGAAAAAACTGGGTCTTTATTGCACTAGTGCAATAAAAATTTTATTGCACTCATCTGTCATTTTACTACAGCGTTTTATGATCATGACAAACATAAATATTCAAATCAACGCCATTTTCATTTTCTGTGTTACGGTTTAAAAACAATTGCATATTTTATATTATTTTCAATCATTTAATAAATAAATTAATAAAAAATGTATTTTATTAAAAATATAATTACAAATTATGAACACAAACGTAAATAAATGCCTCAAACAAAGGTACACGATCGCGGCTACTATGATTTGGATAATACAACTGCAGTTCTATAAAACATTTTTTGATTTTTGCATGAACGTAGAAAAAATATTGTATGCAACTCGTACAAAAAGTGTTTATTGCACTCGACATTGTTGTCCAACTCGGCCTGACAATTTCACGTCGCGTACAATAAACACTTTTTGCACTTGTTGCAAAAATAACTATTAACAATAAAACTTATTTAGTTGAGAGAAAATTATTTCTGCTGCTGCAAAAGAATGGGGTAATGAAAATAAACCACAAATTAGTTTTTGTAAATTTTAAACATTTGGTTCATGCAGTGTTTTTTTTTATTTTAAAGATGTTAGCCCAAAATTCACCTAAGGGTAAATTTTTGTAATTTAGTATTTCTTCAGTCTTGAAGGGGTCTACGTTATTAAAAACAATATATAAATTATGCTGGAGGCTGGTGGTTATCCCCTACTAAACTATAAACTGACCATAATAACAAAAAAATAATACAATAATAATAATAAAGTGACGCCTATCTTGGATTTATTGAAACAAGAAAACACAGAAATAACAAATGTATAGAATTCTAATTTTTTTAAGTATGGGCTCTGAAGTTTAAATGGAGCCACTCATAAAATTTTGATATTTTAAAAGGTAATAGATTTTTCCTCTTTTCTTAAAAGTCGTAATAACGTACTGGTGTAACTTTTTAGTAATAGATTTGTTACAATTGTAATAGCAACGGCAACACTGCAAATGCCTAAAAATGCCAGTTAGATATATCAGTTGTCAATGTCAAGTATCAGTATGTCCAACCTAAAAACGAAAGTTTTTGCAGAGTTTTTGTGATAATAAATTTGAATCGATTCTATTCTAATTTCGATTTTAATGTTTATGTTTATACGAATCAAATTTTAAATAAACATTTTTAAAATTAATCTGTTGTAAAATTAATATATGTTGTACTCCTGTTAAAACCATTTACATCGGTAAACACCTTAGGCCCGTATTTATAAACAAAACTCAGATGGGTCGGACTTGGGTAAGTCGTCCTTGGAACTAAAATCGAAGTTCGGTTACAACGTCTCTAAAGTTCCAGGTAGTTCCGGAGCTACACTGGAATTTAGAAGGCGAGTTCGGTCAGTCAGGGGCTGGAGCGGGACAAATTTTAAGGTGCTTTTAAATGACATTTAAGCGTGTTAAACTGTCACTAATCGGACTAAACCGAACGCTAAAAGAGTCGTTAGGAGTTAAAAGTGTGCAATGAGAGATAGATATTAGCAAATCTGTAACTCCGTATTTATAAACAAAACTCAGCTGAGTCGGACTTGGGTAAGTCGTCCTTGAACGAAAATCGAAGTTCGGTTATATCCACATACTTATAATATTTATACTATTTAAGTATGTGGTTATATCGCGTGAATTTAGAGATGGGTAGTAACAAATTCGTAAATGTACATAACAGTTACAGATTTGCTAATATCCATCTCTAAATTCCAGCCTAACACCAGAACCACCTAGAACTTTAGAGACGTTGTAACCGAACTTCGATTTTAGTTCAAGGACGACTTACCCAAGTCCGACTCAGCTGAGTTTTGTTTATAAATACGGACCTGGGTAAATTGATCTGCAGAACATGAACATAGCCTAATAAAAGAATAAAAAAGAGGGTCACTAAAGCTGACCCCCCCAAAAAAATATTATTGCAAATTTTTGAATTTCTATTAGCATAAATCGTTTGTTCGTTGTTTGTTCTTAATTGTTCGCAAATAATAATTGTTTGTTCTCATTTCGTTTATTTATAAAAGTAAAAAATAAAATTGATCCTCTATTTAGCCCCCAACAATTTTTTTGCAAGTTTTCGAATTTTGATTAGCATAAATCGTTTGTTTGTTGTTTGTTCTTAATTGTTCGTAAATAATAATTATTTGTTCTCATTTTGTTTATGTATAATACAAAAAAAAATAAATAAAATTTATTAACTATTTAGCCTCCTATTTGCAAATTATAATTTTTTAAATTACTATTAATCTTTAGCTATTTATCAACATTTGTTTAATTATAAATTAAGTTGGTTCTTTCGATAATTTACTTTTTTATGATATATCATATCACTCAGTACATGCAGGATTAAAAACTCTTTTTAAAGGACTATTTTCATCCAAAAAAGCGAATGTATTTTTTATTTATTTTCGTCCAAAATATAAAAGACTCCGTGGGGTTCTACTTCGGTATGAAGAGTTGCTGATTCCGGTTTAGGCGAACAATCATTGTAAATTTGCCAATTTCCCGATAATCGCCGACAGTAAGCAAAATAGTGGCCTGTTCGATATGCTACTCCAGATAATCTAAAAATTTATAAATAATGAAAGAATTAGTAAAATGGCTTAAAGTTAAATATTGTCAAAAGTAAAAGTATACCTGTAACGTAGATTAGTTTCAGATCCATCATTATTTTTGAGTTTTAAGAAGCTTAAATAAATAGGAAGCTCGCCGAGTTTACAAGTTTTTCCCCTTTGTATACTAATATTTCCACATATATCTAATTCAATAAATAAATATTTGTTAGGAACAGCAACACGTGTAGCATTTCCCTTCTTGCAAAATATACAATGAACATTGTATATTTTCTGATGAAAATTTAGTGCTCTTTCTAGAGCAGAAAAACCTTCACGAGTAATAATTTGGTGATTCACAGCAAGAACCGGAAAATCTTTTCTGTATATTTTACAATCTGAACAATAAGTGGTTTCATAAATGCTTGGTGAATTTTTGAATAAAATATTCCACAAGTTACTGACATTATCGTAACAATTAATTACATTTAAATTTGTAATTTCTTGGTGGTGTTCATCATTTTTTTTTATATAAATAGGTTTTAAAATAGATAGGCGTTGTTGGTAAAGTTCTGCTGTTGGCCCGTTTTTTATAAATTCTCTCAAAAACTTAAAAATCGTAATTTCAATATTTGCAATATATTCGTGAAAAGAAGTATTATCTAACGCAGCAGTGAATATGTGGACACACTGTATGTGGACACACTGTATGTGGACACACTGTATGTGGACACACTGTATAATGATTTAGAATTAATTCACATTATAACATCTATAAAACGTTTCAGAGCAACTTTCGGGGAAAGTACCGTAAAAAAATAGGGGGCTAAATAGTTAATAAATTTTATTTATTTATTTTGTATTATACATAAACAAAATGAGAACAAATAATTATTATTTACGAACAATTAAGAACAAACAACAAACAAACGATTTATGCTAATCAAAATTCAAAAACTTGCAAAAAAATTGTTGGGGGCTAAATAGAGGATCAATTTTATTTTTTACTTTTATAAATAAACGAAATAAGAACAAACAATTATTATTTGCGAACAATTAAGAACAAACAACGAACAAACGATTTATGCTAATAGAAATTAAAAAATTTTCAAAAAAAAATTTTTGGGGGGTCAGGTTTAGTGACCCTAAAAAAGAAGGTCAACTTCCATGCTGTCACTTGCCACATGTCACTCGTTCGTAACTATGTTCATGTTAGATTGTGAACATCAACTTTACGTTTGTTAAATAAAAAAATTTTTAACAACTTGTATAGCTTATAATTCCCACAATGGAAACTATTTTAGAACAACAACGACGTTACCATGAAGAAAAAGAAAGACTAATTGATGCAATGGTCAAAGAAATGCTTCATAAAAAGAATACAGTAAGAAAATTAACTTCAGTAATTGCATGAAAAGCAATTAAATTAAAAGTTCGATATAAAAGTTTTTTGACTCTGTGTTTTAGTATAGAGAAGCCATAAACTCAGACCACCGTCAAAAATATCTCCTGGATCGATATATGACTTCTACGGAAAGACTTATAGATCTCTATGAAGACAAAGATGGTCAGCGTAAAGCTGAGGTTGCAGCTCTTACAGGACCAAATGAGTTTAATGAATTTTACAACAGGCTGAAGCAGATTAAAGATTTTTACAGGAGACACCCAAATGAGGTATTTAAATAGAGTCCTTAAGTAATTACTTACAAAAATTATTTGTTTAAACACAATTTTGAAATTTTACAGATAAGTGTTCCAATGTCAGTAGAATTTGATGAATTTGCAAAAGCTAGAGAAAATCCTAATGAAGATATGGCTAGTAAGTACTTTAATTTTTTTATTAATTTGGTGCTATAAAGTGTCTGCATTTCCAATAGGCCTTCCACATGTGCATGTGAAAACTACAGAAAGTTAGCATTAGAGCGAACACCGTTGATAGTTTATAATATATAAACTGGCAACACAGATTATGCATTTCCTGTTTCACTTTTTGGCATGGCTTCTTACAGAATGTTAGCATTATTTAAGAATATCGTCGTTTTACTTTTAAAAGCTCGTAAGTCTCTCAGAGCTAATTTTACAGGAGACCAAAAAAACTTTACAACGTGGTCGTTTTAATATTCAGTTCTACATTTGTTTATTATATTTTAACTTATGCAACAACTTAACAATTTTTAAACTAGTTTTGTTTACATTTTTAACGTTTATTTAAAGAAAAGACTTAGGAGGTTTTGTTATAATAAATTTTATTTTAAGCATAGACATACAAGGTTTTAACTTAAAATAATTCATACACGTAGATAGTAATAAAATAATATTTTTTAAATGATAACATAAAAAATATTAAAAAAATAGCAGAACTTTAAAAACATATTATTGGTACTGAAGAGTCTCATAAAAAAGGTGAAAATCATGTGGAATTTCCTTTTTTAGATCTTGGAGATGTTCATATTTCGACTTTTTTATAGCTAATGGAGCATTATAAAGTTGTGGTATTTCTTCAGTGCCAGTAACTTGTTTATTGTTTCTTTTTATAAGTTGTAACCAGTCATGGTTAAAGTTTGTTTTAAAGTACAATAAACCTTCATTAGTGTACTTAAGGGCACACAAGTTGTTAACGGTTGCATCTCCAACTCTTACTCCTGGACGAATTGAAGTAAAAAAGGATAGTTTTGAATAATCTTTAAAGTACGTATGGCGTAGATATTCCACAGAATAGGGCTTTGGGTGTCTTCTTGCCGATTTGCACGCGGAGAGGTAACCTGCAGGTGTATAAATCTCCTGATTACGGAGTTTCCGCTCAATAGTGGAGTGCATACTGTCGCACTCCATTTGAGTGTGCCCAGGAACTAAATACTTCTGAATTATAGTTATTTTCTTCTTTTTAGATAAATGAAGCAATGCATTGGTAAGGGTAACATTGCGATTTTGATAGCCGCAGCCATCACTAAAGATTATAATTTCCTCACCAGATTTTACTTCAGACTTGTTTTCGATAAAGTCATACAAAATTGTCGCGAACTCATTGGAAGTAACGCCTCCTTCACCTTCATGCCACAAAAAGCAGAAGCCATCCTTGGTCTTTAAATTATAAATTGTGTAATTGTGGACAACGAGTTTTTTCTTGTAGTAAATTGATGAAGCCTTTAACATTGGGCACAGGAGAACGGATTGCATGTCTACTGTGAAGATATGAGTGGCATTTTCTTTATCAAAATCTTTTTCTTGGCGAGCTCGATCTTTCCTGTTAATATGCCGTAAGTAGTCATCTTCTGTCATATTTCCTGACTTGTGTGAAACACAAATGTCACACTGGTCTTTTCTGGGTCTATATAGGCTTAACTTATTTTCATAAAATTGTTCATAAAATACTTTTGTACTTAGAGGCTCGAGTACCTGTTTATTTTGACAAAATCTGACATATTCACCATACAAAGCTAGTTTTGATTGCCAAATTGGCTCTAGGTAAAGTCTTTGTGAAGATGCTCGACAATAATGCGACTCTAACTTAGGAAGGGAGTGAAAAAAATCCTTCAAATTGTCTTTCTTTGATGAAAATCTGTCGCTTTTTCTTTGGATAACCTGGGGTTGAGCTGGTACAAGATCACTATCTACGTCAGTGTTGGAATTTCTATTAGGTTTTTGTAGTACCCAACTATGTGTTGACCACTCTCCAATATTAAGAGTATTATTAAACATCTTTTTGCATACTCTTACTCTAATGCCATTTTTCTTGAGGTAATATAAAAACGTGACGTCACGACGAGATACTCCATTCTTTAAATTCTTTTTATCTTTGGGAGTAGAAGTGTCGACCAAGCTGCTGACGTAGGTTTTTCGTTGTTCCCAGTTTAGATTCTGCCAAAAACGTTTAAAAATATTTAATCGTTCCTCTTCTGTAAAAAGATTACATTTTATCTTCGTGTCGCTTCTGCTATGCTTGCAATTGCAAAAAGGTTTAATTTGCCGTGCTTTTCTTGGTTGATCACTCCATTTTCCATCACTCTTCTTAAGCCCTTTGTATTCCTCTCCCTTCATTCTTTTTTGCTTGTTTACATTTATTTCCCACTTGGTAAAATCGGATTTGCGTTTCCTTGTTTTTTTCTCAAGTGTTTTGGTACCTACATCCCCTTGAATACTCTTTGCTTCTTCCATTTGAATTTCCACCTTATTTTCAATAGTTATAGAAGATAATGCTGCTTCCGCTGCATCATGTTCTAAATCCCCAGCTTCATTGTCATAAGGACTTGTTACTGTTGCTAGCGTGCCATCAGCCGCCACTTCGTATTCCTCAGTAGAGCAAAGAAGAACTTGAAGATGTTCACTCTCTTTAGAGCTCTGATCTATATGACTGATATCTTTGAAAATTTCCTTAGAACTGTGAGCAGGCTGTATCAAAATACCATCTTCTGGATCCTCTTTTTCCAAACTTTGAATGGAATTGGGCTGTAATCCATGTAAAGCCACATTTTCTTCGGATTTGTTAAGTAATGAGAGAATTCGCTTACTCCTTGCACTTAAAGTACTTACTTTCAAAATCTGAAAACAATTAAAATGTTATTTTATAAAAAAAATATAGAAGGCTTTTTGTTTTGTTTATTTGATTCTTTTTACTTAATTATTTATAAAAGCAGAAAAAAATAAAATGTTTTATTTTAGTAAAACCTCTTATGTCTGAAAATCGCTGTAAAAAAATCGTTACGATGTTTATTAAAACCTCGTATGTCTAATTAGCGCCATAACTTTGACATTTGCTAATAAAATCAAATAAACTGAACTAATTAGAATTTTTTTCTAAATATATTTATTTAATCTAAATGTAAAAAACATTACTTACCTTAGAACTGGATGAATTTTCCATGATTTGGAATTAAAATATTCAATTGAAACAACAACTAACTGAAATGTTGGGCGTTGTCGAACAAAATGCAGACTTACGAGGATTTGAAAGTAAAAGATTAAGACAATTTTGACATGCGTGTTTTAAAAAAATAATCATAGATGGCGATATAGCATAAGGAGGTTTCAAAGGTAATACTGGGAGATGTAGAGCTGGATTTAAAATCGATATTCGCTAAAATCTCGTTTTTGAAAAAAGCGGACTTACGAGGTTTTAAAAGTAAAATGACGATATATCGTCGTTGTCGCGGTGAAACCTCCTATGTACATTTCATCAAAATTTTCAGTAAATATAAAAACATAACAATTTTGTTCTGATGCCTTATACGTATTACGCACAAGGGAGGTCTAAAATCACAATATTTTAAAAGAAAATTACATGGGAGGTTTTGCTAAACTGTACAGAATGTTAGTTTCTATGAACTGGTACAAAAATCTGAAAATGTGATAAAATATCACATAGGAGGTTTCACCGCGGCAACGACGATATTCAAATGAGCTATCAAAATGATAGGCAGTTGGATGTGTACTTGCATATTCACATAGAAATGTATTCTTAATGTCTAGGATATTTCCCAGTCATTCAGTATTGGTTTTAATTTATAGAGGCTATGCCCTAAATGATGCTGAGAAACAGTAACAAATCCTATATTGATAGGCCTGGCTAAATAAAAAAAAATATATAAAAATCATCTTTTTAAATACAATTCCATTATAATAAACTGTTTGGCAGAAAGACCTAAGATGATACTCTATAACAAAACACTTATTTTTATAAAATAAAATACTTTATTCTCAGTAATACATACAGTGAGGACATGTAGGTTGGAATAAATGTAATATTTTTAGGTCTTGGCAGTAATTTAACAAAATGTCACATGTCATTTTTATATTCAACTATAGCCTTGCACTATAGCAGAAGTAAAAGTTGGAAAGGATTTTGCCAGTTCTCCCACTTTATACACATAAATTGACAGGTTTGCGGCGGATCTCACCGAAGTGGACGATACATTGGTGTACAAATAATTTTATAGATGTTAATAACAATTTTGAGTAAATAGTTTAATAAATTGTGAATAGTTGTTGAAATTTTGTAAAATTATGATTTGAATATTATAATACATGTTTAATAATTATTTATAGTCCATAAATACATGTGATTGTCCGGTTCCGCCGATAACAATTTAAAATTACTTATTCTATGAAAGGACACTGGCAGGTAAACATTACTCCGAAATTCTCGAAGCCGTCCGACGTGGTTTGACGTTTACCCTCTCTCTACCTACCAAAAGCCTTTACAACTTTTACTTTCGCTATACAGTTGGATGTACTAATGACGTCACCACTTTCACATATATTTTTCTTCATTTTTGAATTCCCAATAATAGATGATTACAAAAATGTATGTCCAATTGTAGCATAAGATGCACAGCTGAAAATAAAAATTGACCTGTGAAAGCATTTTGTTAAAATACTGTTAGACAGAAAAATATCTAATTTATTATAACATTTTAAACTCATAAATAGACACACCCATATAGAATAATGGTAAAATAAAATAGAATTTTAAAAGATCATAAGGGTTGATAATAGCAATAAAAAAATTTAACAATATTAAGTAATTACTAACATTTTATACACCAATTTGTTACATTCCCATTCTTTAGTGAAATGTTTCAATTATTTTAACATTAGCAAACCTACAAATTGGCACATTTTTCTCTTGAGATAAAAAAAAACATTTTTTGTATTAATGCATATTAATTATATGGTAAGAAAAGAACTTTGAGAATCTCTCCATAAAATAACTTTTTGTTTTAGATTTCGTAGAATTCACTGATGAAGAAGGTTATGGAAAATATTTAGATCTGCATGAATGCTATGAAAAATATATAAATCTGAAGGGAATAGAGGTAAAAAAATATTGACAGAATAATTGTACAATCTAGTAAAAATTAACTATCTATTGTTTTAGAAACTCGACTACATTACTTACTTGGGCATGTTTGATCAACTGTATGACATTCCTAAAGAAAGAAAAACTGGTGAATACAGAAAATACCTGTTATGTCTCATTGAATATCTAACTTGGTTTGTTCAACGTATTAGACCTTTAATGGATCTTGATGCTGATTTAGAAGAACAAATTGATCAGGTTTTGTCTAATTGGGATACTGGTACTGTTCCAGGATGGCCAGTATGTTTTTTTTTTCTTTATTTAAACTTACCTTTTCACTAACACTGCTGCCACTATATGTGTCTGTTGTTGATACACACTTAACATTTGTGTATATTATTCAGAAAATTTTTATTTTTGTCAATAATACTTTTTCTTTTAGAAAGAAACTGGTTCTGCTTTAACAAATGTTGGGGCCCATTTGGATCTTTCTGCATTTTCAAGTTGGGAAGAATTAGCTTCTTTAGGCTTGGATAGATTAAAATCTGCCCTTATGGCATTGGGACTCAAATGTGGAGGGTAAGAAATGCTGGTTGAATTTTAATTTTGTTTTAGATAAAAATAGTACCTATTATAGTAATTTTTAACAAATATATAATGTTTTAGGACTTTGGAAGAAAGAGCTCAAAGGTTATTTTCAACCAAAGGAAAGGGTTCACTGGATCCCTCACTTATGACAAAGAATAGTAAAAATAGGATTACTAAAGAAAAAGAAATCTCAAGACACAGAGAATTGGGTACATTAGAAGCTCAAATTTACAGGTTTGTTATTTTAAAAATCTATTTTGTTGGTTAATTTTCGTAATTTTATGTAATTCTTTCAGGTTGGCTGACCTAGTCTCAGCTCAGAGAGCAGCCACTAAAGAAAATGTTCAAAGGAAACAAGCTCGTACAGATGGTGAACGTGATGACAGTGAAAATGAAGAAAGTGAAGATGACAGTCCTGATGAAGGAGATGATGATGTACCTTATAATCCTAAAAATCTTCCACTTGGTTGGGATGGAAAAGTAAGTGTTCACATGGGTCCGACAATATTTGTGAGATTAATCTTATTTTTTTTTATTTTCCATCAATATAAATATAAAATGTGATTATTTTCTTGTTTCTAGCCTATTCCTTATTGGTTGTATAAGCTTCATGGATTGAATATAAGTTACAATTGCGAAATTTGTGGAAATTATGTTTACAAAGGTCCAAAGGCCTTTCAAAGACATTTTGCAGAGTGGAGGCATGCTCATGGAATGCGTTGTTTGGGTATACCCAATACAGCACATTTTGCAAATGTTACTCAGATTGAAGATGCTTTAGCCTGTGAGTATTTTTGTGATTTTTTTTAATTATATCATTTAAATAAGATAGTAGAACAACCTTATGGACGTTTCATTGGAGGCAATTCTGTCGCGACATCTGTTAGAAAAAGTACAGAACTTCATCAAAATGGCCTGAGCGCTAGAGCTTCCTCGATTATTGAGTATAGAATTCTATAACATAAAGTTTTCTTAATTTTTAAATTCATTTGGGTAGACTGCCAAATTTAAATTAATATTGTTTATATTCTCTAAAATGATGATAAATCGTAAATAAATGTTCATCAAGTATAATTAAACTCATTTATCTCATTTTTAAAACGAATATTCTGGATCGACTATCGGGTCCATCTATTAGTTAATAGAGAAATTACGTTCGTTATTCAGTTTCGACAACCGTTCGATGGCTTGGTAGATGACAAAATTATCAAAGACATGACTTGGACACCATGGAGCTTGCTGCCATTTATTGATCCATTGTCCTCCAAGATATTTTGCATTGATATTGTTCTACTAGTTGATCTAAATACAATGATTATTTAGAAGAAAAGGTGCATTTATTGATTTTAAACTGTTTTATTTTAGTGTGGGAAAAATTAAAAGTACAAAAACAAAGTGAAAGATGGCAACCAGAAACTGAAGAAGAATATGAAGATTCTCAGGGAAATGTGGTAAATAGGAAGACTTATGAAGATTTAAAGAGACAGGGATTGTTATAAATATTTATGTAAATTAATTATCCTTAAGAATTACAATACATTTTATTATTTTTTTTTTTTAATAAAGGCATTTACCAAATATTAATGATTACTGATTAAAAAGAATTTACCAAAAATTACACCTAAAATTCAAAAATGTTAACAATGTTGGATACTGTTATGACATTCATTTTGATTTATATGTTAACCACATCCTCCTTTACTGCAAGCACTTCTTTTTTGTGGTTTATAATTTGTAGAACTGCCACTACCCATCAATGGATTATATTCTAAAAAAAAAAAATTCAAATCACTACAACTAATAATTTAGAATGACCTAGCAAATGCAACCATTTCAAGTGCATGCAAAAGTGTTATAAGTACCACCCATGATCTATACACACAAAATAAGGGAAATGTTTTGTAGAGATTCAAAATATCAATACATATTCTTGAGCCAGTTGTTTAATAATAATAATAATAATAATAAACGTCTTTATTATACCAGCAAAACAACATTTACAAAGTATAAATGGCGTAGTCTAGCCAAATGGCCATTCAACTTAACCATATCACAAATCCTAAAACTAACTTAAACCTAACCTACTCTACATTACGCTGAATGTCTACGGATGAATTCAAATTTAAATTAAGAACAAGAATTAAATAAAACAAATAAAATAAATAACATAGAATATGAATTAAATATTTTCATTTGCTTGGCTACCAAGAAAATATGATTTTAACATTATTTTAAATGAACTAGTACTCAAATATGATTTTAAGTGTGTATTTAGTGAATTGTATACTTTAGCGACATTATAGCTAAATGACCGTTGAAACATGGCAGTTCTATGTCGTGGCATGGCGATAGTATGGCGATTTCGCAAATTTAAGGCATGTGCGTCAATCCTATACGTAATCCGTTCTCTTAAATATAATGGTGAATTAGCTTTTAATAAATTGCTTAAAAATAATAAGAAAAGAAATTTGAACAAAGAATCCATTTTCAACCATTTTAATGAAATAATGTAAGGTGATATGTGGTCATATTTTCTTTTGTTACAAACAAGCCGACAACACGAATTTTGTATTTTTTGTAAACGGTTTGCAGTAGCCCTGTCGAGACAAGGATAGTATACAGAGATGCAGTTTGTTACCTATGCATTTTTTTTTTTTTTTTAATATACTGTGCGTTAAATTAAGAATCCTGAATATTAGAGAATGGTAAAAGAATAGCATTGAATAGAGAGAAATAGAGCTATACCTACTATCCCACTACCTTGGTAGAGGTAACCATGTCTTTAAACGTCCAATCACAGGTGAGTTTGAGACGGACAATATAATAAATTCTGCTTTTACATTTAAGATCAATTATTTTAGAATTGTTTCATTATATTTAGGAACTTATTTTTGAATTAATTGAATGCCATTTACTTTTTGGTACTTTCTAGCAAAAACAGCATTTTATATGTAAGATATTACCAATAACTAAGTAACTTTAGTCATGTTAAATAACATGCAACATACACCCCAAAATAGTTTGCGGAGTACTAAAATGTGTGCTGTAATTGCTGACTGTGTGCAGTAGTGTCCCCTTTTAAACTACTAGGACCTACATAATTAAGCATATCATCTTTATTTCTCAAGATTCATAGGTTAACATACTGGTATAACAGTACTTAAAGATTATGGTCTAATTATTTTTGTATTTGAAAAATGGTTACCTACATTATATTATGAGTCACAGGTAAAGATATGTTGCCAAACAATATAATTAATAAGTGCTAAAAACTGAAAATAATTTTGTTTTCTAAAATTGTTGCTTACCAGGCTTAAATGATTTTGAACTACTAGGACCTAATGTATGACCTCCATCATTATATTTTTCTAACAACTCATTTTTCCTTTTCTCTTCTCTCTGAAATAAACCAATGCTTCAGATTAAAGAACTTTGAGATATTAGAAACATGCTTTAAAATAAATTGATTATATATCAGTTAATTGTAATTTGGTACCTCTTCTAGTTTCTTTTTGTGCTCTTCTGCATCTCTCTGATATTTTTCTTGTAATTCTCGTGTTCGCTTTTCTTGAGCAAGTAATCTTGCAGATAACAAATCCGGATCTAAAAATGTTGTTAGCTATATACCAAAACTTAGTTATAAAAATTGTTTATTAGGAATTACTTTTGTGGTATTTTGCAGAATATTCAGCTTCTTCCTTTTGAGACTTATATGTTCGAAAACGAGATTTCAAATATTTTTCATATAAATATAGTGTTGCTACTACGGATATTAAAATGTACCACCCATAATTAGCGATAATATCCACAACTGAAAATTCGAAAATATAAAGTGATGTGATGTAAAAATGGTTATTTACTTACCTGTGGATATTGTATCTGAAAAGTGAGAGGGATATTCTATTTCTTCGTCCATTTTATTAACATATATTTATTAAAAACGACTTAAAAGTAAATATTTTTATTTTTGTATACGCGATGACAGAACATGACATATGACATACACTGCAACTTTCAGGAGCGGCTAAATGCTGACCAGCGTGCACATATTATTTTTTGTGTTTTCCGCTAGATGGCGTGTATTTGAGCGCGGTTTTTTAAATTGATAATTTTGACTTGCACACCATACAGTGCGTCAAAAATTGTATTTTAAATTATATTTTATTGTTATTAATTCTGGGTTAGACTAGAGTTAATAAATAACCCATTAATTAGGAAGTTATTGGTAGGTATAAATAAAATAACCAATATAAAATGTATCAGTAGTTCACTCATTTATTTTAAAAAATAAAATCACTACAAATTTGTTAGTAATTTAAATAATAATATTGGGTTTTGATGGTATATTAAAACACTAAATCATTATAGTCAATTTATTAAAATATAGAAATAATAGTTGTGGCAATCATTGTCTCTAAAAAATTGAGTTTCATCCATTTTTGTGTATAGAATTGTTTAATAAATATATATTGAGGGTAGGGTGAGTGTATGGTAAATAATAAAATGTATGTCTCGAGTCTAGAATAAAAATAAGCCTAATTGGTCCTTTTGTGCAATGAATAATACTCTTGTAGCGGCAGGAGAAGGCATGGCCGATAAAGTACTTTATGAAGTATATACAAAAGTTCTACTTTTCAACTGTTTTCTGTCCGAATAACGACGTTTTTTGACACATTCGAATAAGAAAAATTTTAAAATGTACAAACATATTATAAGACCTAAATAACCTATATAACACAATTTTAAAAATGTTACAAATGAGGTAAAAATTAAATACAAATTAAAGTTTCAAATAGTTATAGCATACATTAGAATAATTAAGTGGTACCATTACGGATCACCGAGTATGACTCATAAATTCTACATAGTGTTAATATGTCTTAGACGAAAGATATGCATAAAGTTTATATTTTAATGTATTAAAGATTCGTTGCTATCAATATGAATATATATTTATTGAAACATTCAATACCTCTATTGATGTCGGAACATAAAAAATAATAATAATTAGGCAAATAAAAAGTGATAGGTCATAATAATACCAATTCTACCTCTCTTGTCTTAAATAAAATACATTACAGATTAAGTTAAAAAAATATTTAACTAGGAAAAGGAACCTTAATCTATATCAACTAATATTAAAAAAAAATCAAAAACCTTAAATTAGAAATTAAAAATAATTATGATCATTGTCACTACTTTTACTAATAACTAAAGAACTGCTAAGAGTACTTCTAATAATTTCGTTTTCATTTAAATTGGGTTTTTTTTTTATAATTATTGCCCTTTTGCTTTTTTTTTTTGTTGAGGTGAAGACCAGCTGTTTTTTAATTTTTTTATTTGGTGGCTCATTAATTTCTGCAGAGGTTACACAAGGAATATCGACTCTGCTAATGCTGTTGTCATAGTTTAAGAGCAAATTAGCATTCTTCAAATATTGAGAAACTTGCCTGAGAACATTTTCATCAGAGGAATTTTCTAATTGATTTAATTTTTTATTTTATTTTTTAATGTGCCTAAACTTGTTGCCTCTGCTGAAATATTTTGTCCCAAATACTCTAAATGTGTATTTACTTCAGCCTTGTCTTCATCACATTTATTTTGTTTATATTTACCATCAGCTTCTTCAGAATTGTTATCTGGCATATATAGCAAAATGAAAGGAATATGTTTGCGTATTGTATTTCGTCTTAAATAATCTAAACAGGTGCAGGTAATAACTGATAATGCAGATAGGAAATGGCACTTCAACATTAACAACACAATTCAAATTCAAACTTATTTGTTCGACAATTGACAATATGATCAGCAGTAGCTGCGCCCTCTGACGAAAAGTAAAATAAATAATCTGTGCACGCCGGTCAGCATTTAGCCGCTCCTCAACTTTCACTTCTGTTTAGTTTTCTAGAACTTCACCGACTTTTGATTTTGGCCACTTACAATTTAACTGCATTGTTGCCAAAAGTTTACAATTTTTTTTCTATCTTCATCTTATATAAATTTTAAGAAAAACTACATGCAGTTTAAAAATAAATTAAATAATTAGTTATCTACGTCCTACATATGAGTGATTCCACCTTTCCACACGCATTTCAGATTAGAAGACTGTTCCAGATCTTCTATTAGACCATATAACTATACGTACCCTACCCGTGTCTATCAATTGATCCACTAGTTCTGTGATCCACTATCCACTGGATCTGGAAAAGGTTTACAGTACATATGTGAGTACATATTTTGAAGAAACCAGAGTAAGCCAGTGAAATATACAGTTCACTGGAGGCTCCGTCATTTTGGAACCCGACTAATATCAAATTAAAAAATATTTTTTATGAATTAAAACTACAAAAGATGTAGATGATTGTAGTGACTTTTATTTTTTTTTTGTAGTTTTAAGGTTTTTACAAAAAACTAATTAATTATAATTTTAAATTTATTTAATATTATTATTATTTAAAACTGCTAAATTTGTATTTGGAATCGTCCGTAGTTTTATGTAGTGAAAGAAAAAATTTGAAAAAATAAAAAAAAATTATATTGTAAAGTTCCATTATAAAAATCGAAATTATTAATTTTCACAGCAATTACTGAAAACTACAAACATACCAAATGATTTTAGTACTTTTAAATCGTTTGTAGTTTTATGTAGTAAACGAAAAAATTTGAAAAAATAAAAAAAAATATTTTATTTCGTAAAGTTCCATTACAAAAATCGAAATTATTAATTTTCACAGCAATTACTGAAAACTACAGACATGCAAAATGATTGTAGTACTTTTAAATAGTTTATAGTTTTATGTAGCGAAAGAAAAAATTTGAAAAAATAAAACAAATTTTTTTTTGTAAAGTTCAATTATAAAAATCGAAATTATTAATTTTCACAGCAATTACTGCAAACTACAAACATTTAAAATGATTGTAATACTTTTAAATTTTTTAATTTGATATTAGTCGGGTTCCAAAATGACGGAGCCTTCAATGGAACAAGCCAAAAATGTTCCTCCTATACATCGACTTACCTCCCAGTGTGCTCCCAGTAACAATATAACGCAGGCAGGCACCAAACCACACAATTGTTGTAAGTGCATGCCTTATAGATACTTTAAATATTAACATCCAGTTAAATATATAAAGGAGTCTACCAACTAATGTACCAGTACATCTGAAGTTTACCATAAATAAAAGTGAAATATCAATTACCCAAGTCACTGAATTTCTTAGTTTGCAATTGGATTTTAGGTTCAATTTCAAAGACCATAAAAATAGTACGTATGTTTATGTAGGAACTTAAATAAAACATGTTTTCCATTTCTAACTCTGAAATCCAACTTTTATAGTTCTCTCTTAATTAACATTTATTATTTATGCCCTACTGATGATATACAGCGCGTTCAGCTATAATATCGTTGTGTGGGCAAGGGAAACAGAAATATCACGTGATTGTATTATAAAAAAATAAGATTAATTTTTTAATCTCGATTACATGAGGTTGAAAATGAATGGGTTGATCTCATCGCCTTCCACTGCGACCCAGATGGATCTATTTTGGCTCATGACCAACTTATAGTTCAACGTACATGCCACAGAGCTTTTGCTGGAAGGCCATGGTGGGTGAGACTTGTTTAAAGTCGGTATAGGCTCCAGTCGGGAAGATCTGGAACCTGATTCTTTCCAAAGCGGAGCAGATACATATAAAATGTGCTCTGCAGATTCGTCTATCACGCTGTAGAATCGACAGTCCGATGTTTATTGCAGACTTATTCTTCTCATGTGGTCACACAGTCGACATGCAGTGTCCTGTCATTAGTCCCGTGAAAATGCGTAGATCATTCCTACTCCATTATCGGATCTGAACAGAAACGTTCATGGAAAGGTTGGTTAAACGCCTTCGAATGAGTTAGCCCTGTGGTATCTCTCCAGTTCGTGAGTATTGCACCCTTCGTCCATTTTGAGATAATTCCTTTGGCAGTGCTCTTTTGCTGCGTTTGAGAATCCACATCGGATGCATTTTTTACATCTCGAGCGTTTTTTTATCCACATCGGACACATCTGTCCCATTACATTTACGTATACTGAACCACGTGATCAAAGATTTTTTACATCTCAGATGCATCCGATGTGGATTCTCAAACGCAGCATTTGCAATGCCCAAGAATGGTTCTGGGGTCCTATGAACTCAGATTCGGTTACTCTTTAGAGGGCGCGTCAGGTTTTTCATTGCCCTTCATACCGCTGTGTCCCGTAACCCAGATCGAAGTAACTTTGTTCCGGGCACCGAGATAGTCAAGGCAAGGGCGGCTCCAGGGGGGGGGGGGCATGTCCCCCGAGATGAAAATTCTTCCGATTTATGGCCTTTTATTCATTAAAATATGTTAAAAAGGAAATGGCTAAAGGCAATGGCACCCCCCAAAAATTCGTCTTGCAATGGAGACGTCTTTGAGTCAAGGGTATTTATACAGTTCAATACCAGCTTTTAGTCGACTCGATTGGAGCTCAGGGCCTTGAGGGCTGCCTGACTATCCGAAAAGATCTTTTATAGTCTTGTTTGCGGAGAGAAAATTAATAATTTTATTAATCATACAGGAGACTTGTAGAAATAGGTATATTACAGAAAAAATATATTGATCTGACTCACACATATAGATATCTAAAACACAAATCACAGATTTAATAAAAACCTTGTTATACACATATAAGCATGATACAAAAAAAAATTAAATTACAAGCTTATTAGATTTCATTACCAGAAAATGACCAGAACTCACCATAAGCGTTTGTCTGTTAGACAACGCCATAAGAATCACTATTTCATGAAGAGGCCTCTTCTATAACCTGTGTTGTTACCTGAGCACTTAAAATAGGGAAACAACAAAAATTTTGAATATATCCTAATAGACCGTCAGATAATGACAGGTTCAGGTGTTCCATTTTCGCATGCAAGTCTCGAAGAGGATTGAAAAGTACATCGATTTTAAGTAGAATATGAATGGAAATTTACGAGTGGATCCTGGGGATAACATAAGGAAAATTCGATTTTCTTTAACAAAAATTAAAGGTATTTTTTGCCAATATTTTTACGCAAACCGTATACTAAATGATTAATAGAATTTGGCTTCGGAAAACCAAAGGCTATAATGTTGCAAATGGCTAAAGGGATGAAATAAGGGCGTAATCTTGTAGGGGAAATGGAGATTTTAACCGATTTTTTCACACAAGCCCATCGAATGTATAAAAACATGTAACATAAGTCTGAAAGATATATTGGCTTGAATGATCCGAATGGATAAGTGAATTTTGGGGTCCGAAAATATTTCAATTAAGGTAAATCAAGTTTTCCATGTATTATTCCCAAAAGCCACTCGTAAATTTCTTTTCATTCTACTCATCATCAATGTACTTTTCAACCCTCTTCGAGGCTTGTATGAGAAAATGGGGCATCTAAATCATCGGTCACTACTACCTGACGGTTTATATAAAAGGGTCTTTTGATTGAAGGTAGTTTCTACTCGTTAGATAAATTTATAAATTGTTTTAGGACCGATTCCACCGTTGTGTTAAACGAAGTTTAAAATGACATTTTTACATTAACAACGTCATTTTAATCTCCGTTTAACACAACGGTGGAATCGGTCCTTAAAATTTTTATCATATTTTTAAGTATCTTTGTTGTATTTTATTGTATTTATTATTATGTTTTATTTATCAATACATTTAGGTTTATTGTGAGAGCATTGAGGTAGAATAAAGGAGATGATATATCAGAATGCTAAAATATACGCACCTTTGTATTACACTTTACCAAAGGATATTGATTTTACGTCAATGTCAAACTCAAGATAGTAGAGCTTTTCAGTTTTGGTGAGAATAAGTGACATTTTTTTAGATAGCTTCATTTTCAATCCGTCAGTCTTCAAATATAAAATTACTGCATTCAAATAATCAAAGTACAACCTGTCGCATTATTTTCATTACACTTTTCCGTCATTCGAAGTGCGTCTATCTGTCATATCGCAAAATAGTGTTTATTGCCGCGTTTGAGAATCCACATCGGATGCATCTGAGATGTAGTAAATCTTTGATCACGTGATGCAGTATACGTAAATGTAATGGGATAGATGTGTCCGATGTGGATAAAAAAACGCTCGAGATGTAAAAAATGCATCCGATGTGGATTCTCAAACGCGGCATATGTCGTTTCTACTTTATTCTTTATTCTATCTTGATGGCTGAGAGATTAATAAAAATTTCTATCTATACCTATTTCAGCGGCAAATTTCGAGAAAATATCCCTACATCGGCAACGCTGCCTTGCTTATCAAGTCTGAAGTTAGCGTCTAACAAAAATTGAAACTCATGAAAATTTTGAAAATGTAGTGGAACTTGGGCCCGTACGGCGTACCCAGTAGGCGAGTTCGGTCAGTCAGGGGCTGGAGCGGGACAAATTTTAGGGTGCTTTTAAATGACATTTAAGCGTGTTAAACTGTCACTAATCGGACTAAACCGAACGCTAAAAGAGTCGTTTGGAGTTAAAAGTGTTAAAGGAGTTAAAGGAACGTGGCAAACCGAACGCAATGTGTATAAAGAACAATATTGTTCTTTATACTGGGGCCCGTATTTATAAACAGAACTTACGTGAGTCGGACTTGGGTAAGTCGTCCTTGAACTAAAATCAAAGTTCGGTTACAACGTCTCTAAAGTTCTAGGTGGTTCTGGTGTTAAACTGGAATTTAGAGATGGATATTAGGAAATCTGTAACTGTTATGTACATTTACGGATTTGTTACTACCCATCTCTAAATTCATGCGATATAACCGAACTTCGATTTTCGTTCAAGGACGACTTACCCAAGTCCGACTCAGCTCAGCTGAGTTTTGTTTATAAATACGGGCCTAAACAAACAAGTATATTATTTTTTGTATTTTAATGAGACGTTTAAAAATTGTCACCTTTTTCATTTTAAACCAAATTTAGTTCTACAAAAATTTTACTTGAATCATAAAATTGAAAATAATGAAATAATAGGAATAAGATAAATTTGTTTTACTAATTTAGGATGTTTGAAGAGTACTTGCTTTCATTTCATCGAGATGAACTTCTCGAAATCCTAGCAAATCAAAATGAAACAAGACATTTTTCAATAAATATAAAGTAAGTTTGTAGATATTTATATATAAAAAACAGTAAACATAATATTCAAAGTTCTTGCTTGAAATTTACATTTGTTTTAAATAAGTTTTATAGAATTACTTGGACGTAAAATTGAGTTGGCAAAAGATTTATTAGATGATCCTGATAAAAGTCTTGAAGAATGGGAAAAAGCAGCCACAGCAGCACAATTGTCTCTATTAAAACAAGTTGAGAGAAAGTTTGAATTAAAACTTAATGTACATTGTCGAATCTATTATTTAGCTCATTTAGCTCGACATTATATCTTTCCCGGAAATAAAGACGTTGGGAAATTTATACAAATCTCAGGTAAGTGCAACTTGTACTGATAATTGTATTATTTTTGTTTTATATGGTGTTCAAATAGACCATTAAAATAAGTTCTTGTTTTACGGCTAAATCCAATGTAATTCAAGGTCTCTTTTTGGACCATTATCTCTTGTTTTTGTTAGTCTTCTGATCACTAATACACCTCTTTTACAAGCTCTCAGAGGATTGCATTGAAAAACTGGTAAAACAGTTTCTAAATGCATAGCTACTGTTAATCCTTTAATAAGTTGCAAACTTCTATCTAAATAAGAAATACTTTTGGTCTAGTTATTAATATTAATGCCTATTTATACATTTTTACCAAATGCATGTATATAAAATATGCAGAAATAATTATTGCCTCATTTGAAAGGACCCACAATACAAATAAATGTCAGTTGTAGAAATATCAGTCCATAGGCAATCTAAAACAAATGATCTTGAAATTTTCTTATGAGTTTCAAATTACTTATCTAACATCCTACTCACATTATATATCATAAGACGTTTACTGTTGACCAAGAACACAAATAAAAAAGTTACTTCTGAGAAAAGCATACAACTATGTTGATGAATACTTGAATGTTTTAAATACTTTGATTTTTAGCTTTATGAGTGTTTTAAGTATAATCTAAAGCAGTGGTTCCCAACCTATGTTTTCTAGGGAGTCACCATGTTATTTTTACTTGTAATTATTTTTCCTAAAATTTCACATTGAGGTTTAACATTTATTATTTATTAAATTCAGCCATCTTCTTGATCAGTAGATATGCTTTCAATTTCAATATTCATTCAGATTATATCAAAGAAGAGTTCCTGTTTTGTGGTACACTTGTAACCGCTACAAAAGGTTAAGATACCACGGAGAAGATAAATACCTTCTTTGAAACATGATAACTATAGTAAAAATCATATGTTGGGTTTAAATAAATGGAGCACCAGTCGGGCTTTCTAACAAAAGTGACAGAACTTGCTCCCCATGCAAAGGGCGTTCTCTGCTGATTCGTCCATAAGATCTTGCCAAATGCAAACACAACCATCTCATTAAATTTTAATTAATTTTTTAATTAGTTTATTAAATATTACATTGGGCTTACATTCTGATAAAATTACTTTTAGTGTGGTTTCTTTATCCAATTGAAAACGTAATTGTATACAAATGTGGTGGGATTGCAGATTACTTGGCTGTGACTTGAAAAAGGTTGGGAACCACTGATCTAAAGAGTCAAGACTGATTATTATTATTATTATTATTTGGATGTCTTAAGTATTAAAGTATGTGTTGATTTGATGACTGATTATATACACTCATCAGTACACAGAGAAAAGAGCACATCTTTGATCGGTGCATATTAATTTTAAATATCTACTTTGATTATCGTAATAGCTCCTAAATTTTATTAGCATCTTCCAGTATATTATAAATATGCATTTAACGTTTTTCCTGTAGATACATATATAAAAAAATATTTCAGGAACTGTCATGCGTTTAACGGCTGCAAAATGTCTCGAATTCCAACGAAACTATGTATGTACTACATGTAAAACTCCAGTTTTAGTGAAAGCAGATTATAATAGAAAGTATAATATAATAAAACAACCAAAACGTTGCCAAAATCCAGATTGTAATAGCACAAATTTAATACATTTTGGAGAATTAGACAGTGAGAATTGTAAAGATTATCAAGAAATCAAAATTCAAGAACAAGTTAAGAAGTTAGGAATTGGCTCTATCCCTAATGCTATAAAAGTGACATTGGAAGATGATTTAGTTGATAGTTGTCAACCTGGTGATGATGTGACGATTTGGTGAGTAGAATTTTGGAGTTTGAATACATAGCATATGCTGTGGTTTGGGTATGATGTATGAATTTAAATCATGTTAAGGTATTTATTTAGACGAAATTGTTCCTAAATATTCTTATTTCTTGCAGCGGTATAGTTAAAAGACAATTCGGAGAATTCAACCTTGGCAAGAGAACTGAAATTGATTTAGTATTCAAAGCCAACCATGTACAGGTTGACACAAACAGTTCATTTTCTATTTCTACTCCAGAAACTAAGAACATGTTTAATAGTTTTTGGGAAAAATATGCTCAGAATACTTTAGAAGGAAGAGATATAATCCTGAAGTCATTTTGCACAGAGGTTGTTACATTTTAGATTAATGGTTTAAATGTATTTATAGAGTGGTAACAATTTAAACATATTTTAGTCACCTTATAGTTTATTATGTTTCACACTTTCTTAAAAACTTTAAAATTTATAAAGGTTTTATAACTTTCATTCTTACAGAAAGATGTATTACTGGTGACCGACCATATACAGTTGGCCTATTTATAAATAAACTATAGTATTTATTTTAGATATACGGTTTGTATCCAGTTAAATTGGCACTGGCTGTCGTGCTAGCAGGTGGTTGTCCAATAGAAGACATAAATTTGACGGGTGTTAGGACTAGATCGGAATCCCACTTACTTTTAGTTGGAGATCCTGGTACAGGAAAGTCACATTTACTTAGATTTGCTTCTAAAATAGTCCCTAGAGCAGTATTAACGACTGGAGTTGGTTCAACAGCAGCAGGTTTAACAGTTACTGCAACAATGGTAATATTAACATTTAAATTCAAGTAAATGTATTGATAATTAATATTTCACCTGATTCATCTGCAAAGGTTTTAGTTTCTGGTACATATTAGAAAAATAATGATATACTTGTTCTAATATGAATTGAATGTACTTTTGACTGAATTTATGGGGTTCGCTCAAAGTTTATTAAATGGCAAAGTTAAATATAAAGAGACAGTGAATAAAATAAATTTCAAATTCCGTATTTAGTATATTGTTGAACAAACCGGGTGATGACTTTTCGCCACTTAAAAACAAGTCAGTAATTTGCTACGCTTAAGTATTTTTATCATTGCTGAAGCTTTTTTTTAAGAACGAAAATGGAAGAAAGTAGAGACAAGGACTCTTTTACGCCTAACGGTCGTTATATCTAGGCGACTTATACATGTATAGGTTGACCACAATTTGTAAGGATAATACAAGAGGTTTTATGTACAGTTTTAATTTGTTTGCATTTTTATTTTTCTAAACAATTTGATACTACAATTTGATATTATGTATGTTTAATTGGTATAAATGAAATGGGCGACTTATACTAGGAGAGTTTTTTAATTTTTTCACAAAATTTGTTGCCTCTTTTCATTTTATTTTGTACAAATGAGATGAAACTAATGGGTGATTAAACCTCAATCTACAAATTTGTCTAACGATTGATTTGCTAACAGGCACCAAAGTAAACCATGGCTTATTTTGTCAAACTGTTTTTCAGAAATGTATTTTTTTAAGGCGACAACTAACCTCTATTGATTTATTTTTCTAAAATTCTTTTTTATAAATTCGTATAACCACTGCAAAATCTTGAGAAACATCCAGTTTGAAAATGTTATTCATTAAAAAATGTAATGGGTTTTGCTAGACCAGTCGCCGTTCGTTAAAAACTTCTGTTAATACAATGAAAACATACTGATTTTTTAAGGATTTATTGTATAGATTTCAGCCTGACGCAGAAATAAATAATTTTCTTTTTTATCCTTTTTCCAAAGGATTCACCTACTTACTTTTACTCTTCTGCTATTTTATGCTTACTACTACAAATTCTTTTTTTGTTTCATTTTTATCAAAAAAAAAAGTAACCTTTCACAAACTTTTTAGTGTACATATTTTAAATTATTTATTTAATTTTTATGTTAATTGTAGTTTGCTTGCTTCTTATCAGAATAAATAAATATATTTTCTCATGGATGATAACATTTGAAACCTTAATAAGTATTATGAAAAAGGGTCGAGAGTTTATTTATATCCATGATTTGAACTTGTACTTAATTATTATTTTAATTTAATTTGATTCTCTTAATTTGATTGGAGTTTCCATATTAATATTACAATCTGATCAAAAGTTGATCAATGAGTAATTTTGTTTTATTCTAACTTAACTAATGTTGCAATCTTAAAAACTAAAGTTCTACTCTCTAATATATTTTATTATCTGTGGCAAATGGTTTATCCAATGCCATCCTTTTTCCCTTCACACACACACACACACACGCACGCACGCACGCACGCACGCACGCACGCACGCACGCACGCACGCACCCACACCCACACGCACCCACACACCCACACACCCACACACCCACCCACCCACACACCCACCCACACCCACACACACCCACACACACCCACACACCCACACACCCACACACCCACACACCCACACACCCACACACCCACACACCCACACACCCACACACCCACACACCCACACACCCACACACCCACACACCCACACACCCACACACCCACACACCCACACACCCACACACCCACACACCCACACACCCACACACACACACACACACACACCCACACACACACACACACACACACACACCCACACACACACACACACACACACACACACACACACACACACACACACACACACACACACACACACACACACACACACACACACACACACACACACACACACACACACACACACACACACACACACACACACACACACACACACACACACACACACACACACACACACACACACACACACACACACACACACACACACACACACACACACACACACACACACACACACACACACACACACACACACACACACACACACACACACACACACACACACACACACACACACACACACACACACACACACACACACACACACACACACACACACACACACACACACACACACACACACACACACACACACACACACACACACACACACACACACACACACACACACACACACACACACACACACACACACACACACACACACACACACACACACACACACACACACACACACACACACACACACACACACACACACACACACACACACACACACACACACACACACACACACACACACACACACACACACACACACACACACACACACACACACACACACACACACACACACACACACACACACACACACACACACACACACACACACACACACACACACACACACACACACACACACACACACACACACACACACACACACACACACACACACACACACACACACACACACACACACACACACACACACACACACACACACACACACACACACACACACACACACACACACACACACACACACACACACACACACACACACACACACACACACACACACACACACACACACACACACACACACACACACACACACACACACACACACACACACACACACACACACACACACACACACACACACACACACACACACACACACACACACACACACACACACACACACACACACACACACACACACACACACACACACACACACACACACACACACACACACACACACACACACACACACACACACACACACACACACACACACACACACACACACACACACACACACACACACACACACACACACACACACACACACACACACACACACACACACACACACACACACACACACACACACACACACACACACACACACACACACACACACACACACACACACACACACACACACACACACACACACACACACACACACACACACACACACACACACACACACACACACACACACACACACACACACACACACACACACACACACACACACACACACACACACACACACACACACACACACACACACACACACACACACACACACACACACACACACACACACACACACACACACACACACACACACACACACACACACACACACACACACACACACACACACACACACACACACACACACACACACACACACACACACACACACACACACACACACACACACACACACACACACACACACACACACACACACACACACACACACACACACACACACACACACACACACACACACACACACACACACACACACACACACACACACACACACACACACACACACACACACACACACACACACACACACACACACACACACACACACACACACACACACACACACACACACACACACACACACACACACACACACACACACACACATATATTTTAGGTTCTGATAACTTAATTAAACTAAATTAATGTATAACACTAAACCGCACAATGCTTTGCTTTGTTATTATCTCAAAATGTTTAACACTTTTGATTTTTTGTCAGGTTCGTGTTGCCAAGAACCTGAATCGCCTCAACGTTCACATGTTGCTGGAGCCGTTGTTCTTGACTCCTAGCGAATCTGGTGATAGTCTGGTCAACAGTCTCTATCTGAAGGTCTGGATGAAGGTCGCTGTTTTAAATGTAGCAAGGAGCGTTGACAATGTTCCTCAATACTTTGTTCTAAAATCTCTGGATTATTAGAATATTACTGTTGCTGGCACAATTCAAGAGCTGAATGCCATAGGTCCAACTTGGTTTGAAGACTTGTTTATATGAAAGAATTTTGTTGTACATTTTCTTCAATTTTATATCCAACTCTTGTCTTTTCTTTTTAACATGGACCTTCCAGCGAAGTTTTGCAAATGTAATACATAGATATTTTGCTGAGTTAGCATAAGGGATATGTGCTTTATTTATGTTAATTGGTATTCATTGACCATTTTTGTTAGTAAAATTAATATTAACAGATTTGGTTTCGTTTAGTTTAATATGCGATCTTTTGGTGCAGATATTTATTTAACTGACGTTTGTAGTTTATTTGCAACCTCTTCATGATCATCTACTATTGCTAGGATGGCAGTATCTTCTCCAAATGTAGCTATTACGCCTTGTTCTAGTTGGGTTATGTCACAAGTGTATAACAGATACAAAGTGGGTCCCAGGACGCTTCCCTCTGGAACTCCTGCTTTAATTTCTTTCAATTCAGAGTAAGCTTTATATTTTTTACTCTAAAGAGTATTTGAAATGTATGAATTTAGTATTTCTGAGTATGGCTGTAGAAGTAGCATAATCAGTTTCTGTTTTAAGCCATCATGCTATACTTTATCAAAAGCCTGCGCAACATCGAGAACTTCTTTGTTTTCTAATGCTTTATCAATTGCATTTGAGATTCTATGTATCTGAATGTCCTGAATCGTAGTTGAATGGTTTTCTCTAAAGCCGAACTGACAATCTAGAATTAGTTTACTTTCTTCAATGATGGGTTTCAGTCTTTTCATTATAGTATTTTTCAAATAGTTTCGATAATATAGGCAATAGAGATATTGAGTTTGAATGAGACATTAAACAGGTGTGTAAGTTTCATTATTGCTTTTCCTGTAATTAAATCAAAGCCAGGAGCTTTTTTAGGATTAATATTTGTTTTTATTTCTTTTGCAATTTTCTTTGGAGAGGTTGGTTTCATGATTGAGTCATCTCTCTCTATAGAAGATCACAATTCTTCTCCTTTATTTGGTTGGAAGGTATCTTGTAAGTGTTCTGCGAATCTATTATTATCCCATGCAGCTCGCTTAATGTTGGACACAAGTAGTTCTACTTCTGCATCTAGCTGTGCTGTTGTTCTTAACGGAACTGAAAGATTCATTTCTTTTCAGTGTCCAGTCCGAACCTTTGCCTGTTTATTAGTCTAAGGGAGCTTTCCTTTGGATATTGCTTGCACTAAAAGTGAGAAGAATGAGCAAATGATCTGAATTGATATCCCATGCCTCATCAACTTGATATAGTTTACTGAAATATTTCGTACAACAAAAAAGTCTATTAAGTCGAGTATTTTATTTCTATCTGAGGGTCAATAAGTTGGTTTGCCAGTTGAATGCGACTCACATTTTAGCTGTGTCATTGCTTCTCTTAGGTTTTTACCCTTTTTTGTTGTTAGTCTGGAGTCTCAATGGGTGTGTTTTGCATTGAAGTCGCCTTCAATGATAAATCTAGGTTCTAGGCTATTTAGGAAGTCTAGGTATTGTTCTTTTTACGGTATGTCTTGGAGGACAATATGTAGAAGTGATCATAACATAATAAGTTTTATATATTATCATTACTAAAGTAGCCTAAAATTCTTTAGTCTTGAATCTCGCTTCTTGATGATGCTTAATTGCTTCTCTAATTATTACTGCGCTACTCCCTCTTGCTGCATTTTCGGGATGAATGGTATAATAAACCTTATATCTCTTAAATTTAATGAAGGACTCATTGGTAAAGTGAGTCTCTGAAATGCAGTCATATATGTCTATGTAAGTATGCACATATTCAATGGTCGTTTAGTCCCATATTTTAGTTTTGGAGTCGCTGCTATAATGTTAAAGCCACGACTTTTCAAATCAATAAGAGTATTTTCTGGTTCACAAGCGTGGTGCAGTTTATAAGCTATTACTTTAATTGGTCTATTCTGTTTGTCATCATACGAGTACCAAATATACTCTTGTTCCGTTAATGCTCCAGAAAGCGTTTTGTATTCTGGTCCTTCCGGAACGTTGATGACTTTAATTTTTGTGTTTGGGATTTGCCTCACCATACTATGGAGTTTATTAAAGTTTTGGTCATTATCCACTATGGTAGGTGGTGGTGCCTTAATATTTACAAGTTTTTTCTATTATAGTGCTGTTATTTTGTTATTGTGGCTGTGGTTGTGGAGGGGTCAATGAGGTGTTAATGAGGTCAATGAGGTATTAATTTTTCTTTTATTTATATTTTTTACGCAAGTCCACTCAGTCTCTTTTGCCAGATCTTTATTATAAGTAAAGTATTCAATGGGCTTAATTGCATTGTTTATACTGCTAGCCATACTTCTATTCCTGTATATTTTTTAATTAAAGTAAATCGGATGATAAAGTTTTTGTTCAAATTTTTAATTCAAATTAGATCAAGTATACTACTTGCTTCCTACCATATAGTTAAGTAATTGATATTTTAATAGGTAGTCATTTAAGTTAGATTTTAGCGTTTAGTTTAAATAAAGTCAGTTGAAAACGCTAAAAAAAACTGATCCCTTTGTTCTCAAGTACCTACATAACTAAACAGGAAATGTCCTTAGTAAAGATACAGTATAATATACTATTAGGAACATGGGGAGTGGCAGTTAGAAGCTGGCGCTCTTGTTATGGCTGATGGAGGCATCTGCTGCATAGATGAGTTTAATTCTATGAAAGAACATGACCGCACTACTATACACGAAGCTATGGAACAGCAAACAATCAGTGTAGCAAAAGTAAGTTAATCATTTCATAACATATCTTTGATTATTTTTTTGCTGTTTTATTTTTTTATAATTTATAGGCAAAAATATTTTTTTATAATTTATAGGCAAAAATGTTAACCAGTTTTACTACTAATTTGGCAAAAGCAAAAATATTGGGTGGAAAAGGGAAAGTGCTAAAATATTATAAATATTAAAAAATAGTTCTTTTTGAAAATGTCTTCAACCATTAAAACACTATTTTTACAAAAAAAAAAAAATGGAAAAATTATTATTATTCGACAAAAAACTATAAAAAACCATTTATTTATTGTTAAAACACTTAAATAAATGCAGAGTAAATGGTTTTTTTAATTAGTGAAAACACCTAACCAAATCCAAAGTAATGAAAAATTACTTTTCTAAAAAATAATTTTTGTGAAAAATAACATCAATTTTGCAAATTTTTCATTTTTTTACTAATAGTTAATTCAATCCTACCCTATTCTACTCTACTCTAATAATAATATAGAGTTGTCAGTATTTGAGTATTTAATTAATTTTCATACACTATAGGTATGCTTTTTTAAGGACTTTTTCATTCGATTCTGTTATTTCTATACAATATTGTTTGTTGTTACGTGAAATTCATTTTTAAACATATTAATAAATTATTTTTCTTAATTTCTACTCGCTATTTCTCCGAGACCCCCCGTATTTCACATTTCTCCGATGACCATTGCGTCTCTAGCTGTAATGACTTTCACGAAGACATATGTACCCATTGGGACTGAATTTTATAGGTTTTATTCTTCTGAAGCAACTTTTGACGAAGGTACTTAGGGTGCTTATTTGTTAAAATTGTATGTGTTTTATATATCTTTACATATCGCGTGTGCTTGTGTCATATTTGTCAGTGGCTTCACTTCATCCCGAAGAATATCCCAATTTCGTCCTAGACATCGTCTGATCCTGATCAAGGAAGTACTGAGGGAACTACAGTAATAAAATAAAAAATGTAATGTAATTGCTGTGTAACTTTTTTCTTTTTTTTTTATTTAATAAATATATCGTTTTTAAACTTATAGTTTGTGTTTACCTACCTATTTTATTATCATTTCAGTGTATTTTGAGGAAACAGAGAACGTATAAAAAGTGCATGTGATTCAGACTTTTTGAAGTTTCTAGAAAACTTGTGGCGCTCACTCAAGAAGCCTACCCATACTTTTCTTTTTATCTTAATGCCTTTATCTAAACATTAATTTAAAGTTGGCGCCCAACGTGAGTCTAAATTACGAAAAATATCAATTGAGGAGCTGGCGGGAAGAACGATGAATGTGCAGAAACTTTAAATTGGAGAAAATTGAATTTTTAACTTTCGAGGACTGTCTCATGGAAGGTGCAAATATAATCTTAACTTAGTATGTACAGCAGTGCAGTATCATGTTAATTAACAACAAAAGTAGTGGTTCAAAAAAAATTATTTTGCTTTCGATTTTTGATTTTTCTTTTATATACACCTATTTTAGGCTAAAAGAATGATGAATGTGCATAAAATTTAGACTGAAGAAAATCGAATTTTTAAATTTAGGTTACTATGTCTCATGGAAAGATTAAAAAATATATTCTGAACTTAATATTGATGGTCTCATGTTTCAGTAATTATCAACAAGACTAGGCACAACGTTTTTCTTTATTTAAATCAGTAACAAAAAATGTTTATGATGCATTTTTGGAAATTATTGAAATTATCATAAAAAGCAGATTCTTGTTCTTCCATTTTAGTATTGGCAGAGGTATTTCTTTAGAGACGGCCATGGTTTCAATACAAAGTCACGTTCATCTATATTCCATCAAACGCCAGGTACACTTATCGTTTTTCCCGCAACTGACTAAAATATTTTTAGGTATAGGCGACCCTTATCAATATTTCCGTAAATGTTTACTAGGCGTAATAATACATACAAATACCTATAGATTGCACCATGTATCTCGATTTTCTTAAATTTTGCACCCTCATCGTTTTTCCACCAGCTCTTTTATTATTAAACATTAAAAATTAATTTCACGTAAGTCCAAATGATAAAAAGCTATTTTCGCTGTTGATTTTATAAGTATTTTAAAAATCTACAATGAAATATAGAACTTTTTACCATGTCGACGTGCGAAATAATTTTTTCCTGAGATATAGAAAAAAATAGTTTGAATATGATGAATAAATGTTCAAATTTTTAAACCTGAAAACATCCAAATATCGATATAATTTGGGTAAAGTTGATAAAAATAAAAGTTAAAATGAATTGTTTTTTCAAAAAAATATGGTTTCAGGCAAGTATGGTATGTAAACTGAACTCAAGGTGTTCAATATTGGCCGCCTGTAATCCAAAAGGAAATTTAGATCCAACTCAACCTTTGTCGATGAATGTCGCTTTGCCAAGCCCTCTTTTAAGTCGCTTTGATTTAGTCATGTTGCTAAGAGATACAGTAAATCAGGAGTGGGATGAGCTAGTTATGGATTACATATTAAATGGTGGTACCATTTTATCTAAATTGACTGAGTCTGGACTCTGGCCTATAAATATTTTGCAGGTAAATAAAATTTATATGATTTATAATACAATGTCGCCTATCGAATGCTTTCCAATACGCTTTGCACAAGTGCATATATGAAAACTACAGAGAGTTAGCATTAGTAAGAGTAATGTTACAACGCGGTCGGGTCGTATACACTGGCAACGCACATGGACTTGTGCAAAGCGTATTGGAAAACGTTCAGAGGTCGACATTGTATATAAATTGGAAACTAATGGTTTAAAACTGTAAATAAAAATTACTTTTCAGAGTAAATTTTTTTACCAATAATAAATGGTTAAATTAATATAAAATAATGCAATTTATAAAAATATAGTCAGTTTTTTTATAATATAAAAAATATAATAAACATTCAAGTTTAAAGTAAATATATATTTTTTTATTTTCAGTTTTCAGTAAATATTTATTAAAACAACTTTATATTTTTATTTTAGTCATATTTTAAAATAATAAAGAACCTTCAACCAAAATTAACAGAAGATGCTGAGATAATTTTAAGTTCTTATTATAACTTACAAAGAAAGTTGACAAGTAGAAATAAAGCTAGAACTACTGTTAGATTATTAGAAAGTTTAGTGAGGTACCTATATTTATTTTTCAAATAGGAATATTTCTTTCCATCCTGTATATAGTGTTTTTCTCTTTTAATAGAACCCATTTTTATTTCTTTAAAAAACCTATTAGTATGATCGTACCCCAAAAATGGGTACATATATCCGAAAGTAGTTAGATGAGTCGAGCACACCTACATAGTACAGTGTCGAACCACTTATGAAATAACATTATTTTTGACCCATTTTAGAAAATTAAAAAAGTTGGGACACGTCAACTTTTAAACTAAATTGTACGTTCACCGAACGAAAATATAAATATACAGGGTGATTCACGTAAGTCTAGCACTGTTGGTACTAACAGAACACCCTGTATTATTTTATATTTTTGAAAGCTCCTTAATAAGCTGACTTCAACGAACTAGAATACTGTTACCCTTCACCCTGCAGTAGCCTGTGGCTGTTATAGGAAACGTACGAATAAGAAAAGAAGTGCAATGTCACCCATCACCCTACAGTGTGCTGTGGTCGTCATAAGTAAAAGTACAAGTAAAATAAGAAGAGATAAATGTCTAAAAATATCATTCTGTGTCAAGAAACATCTGGACGGTTCGAAAATATTGTAAAAGGGTCGATAATCCTGGCGTCAGAGTTTCAGTTTTATGGTAGACGTTATACGTTCATGTTATCAGTTATATAGTTGAATTGTAAAAGTTGAGTTGAAATAAATTGAGTTCCAAAAACCTGCGTAACATTGGTGACAGCGGTGGCATACAAAATAAAAGTTACCCAAGTATTCTATTCATGGTAAATACTAGATCCACTGTGTACGAAGCAGACATGGATACTTCAGGTCCCCAGCATGGTTTTTGAAGATGGAAGAAGGAAGGGAAAAGCGAGAAAAGGGGAAAAGCGAGAAAAGGAGAAAGACGTAGGAAAGCGGAAGAAGAGGAAAAGGAAAGGCACAGGAAGGACCAAGAAGAGAAGGAGTGGCGTAGAAAAGAAGCGGTTGAAATTATGAATGGTTTGCTACAAATACAAGAAACCTTCAAGCAAGAGGTTGGTCAGCTTAACATTAGAGAAGATCTTTTAGCATAATAATAAGAGATTTTAAAAATTAATGTAGATCAGCAGCAAGAGAAGTTAGAAAAGAATTTGGAGCAACAACAAGAGCATTTAAAAACTAATTTATAACAGCAACATAATTTAAAAATTAATTTAGAGCAACAGGATATTTTAAAAACACTATGTCGTCTTCATCTATAGCCGAACCAAGCCAAATTCAAACTCCAGTTATTCAAAACCATATTAGCAAGACCGTTAAAACACCCACATTTGACGGCCAGACGACATGGGAAACGTATCGACTTAATCTCTCGTCCAAGCTTTGGAAACAAGGTATGCTGTTGGCCATACCTTTTATTCGAACGGATCCTGCATCGAAAACTATGACCAACTCAAAGAAGCTTAGTTATGGAGACAGCTACAGGGTACACTACTCCTGTTCTAGGCGAGATATCAGTAACCATACAGATTGGTAATACCCTGATAGAACACTCATTTCTGGTGGCCAATATTAAGGATCAGTGTGTACTTGGTATGGACATGGTAAGTTTATCATCAACCTTCAAAACAAGATCTTGGTAATAGGAAAAGAGGAAATTGTCCTAAATTCTGAGGAAAATACCGATAAAGGACCTAATGGAAGAAGATATAGAAGTACCCCCAAAATTCTGAAGCTGTTGTCTCGGTGAGACTTAGCAAGAAATCACATGACTTACATGTGGACATTGTGGAAAATGAAGAATCTGTGAGTGAAGGAATTCTGGTAGCTAGATGTCTCGTTAACGTAGATTAATTGATTTCCAGTAAGGGTTGCCATTTTATCGAAAAGACCATTTAAACTAAAGAAAGAACAAATAGGGCTCTATACCCCGGTAGAAAAAATAATCAAGTGCGAAGGCGGTTGTACGGGGAAAGTAACTGTGTTGACGCCAGCTTTGTGAAACAACTAGTTAAAAATTATGACCACCTGACAGCTAAATAATTTAGAAAAGTCAAAGATTTTATCAATACCAACTGTGATATTTTTGAGACAGGAAAATCTACCAATCTTATCCAACATAGCATTTATACCGGCGATGCAAGGCCAATACGGCACGCACCTAGAAGAATCCTATTTGCTTAACAGAAAAAGTAGCAAATATGACACAGGACATGATGGATGCAAATATTATTGATGGAGCTTCTGGTCCCTGGTGTTCACCTGTGATCTTAGTAACTAAGAAAGACGGATCTACTCGTTTCTGTGTAGACTATAGAAGATAAAATCACAACGCAAAAAGACAGCTATCCACTCCCCCGAATAGACGACACACTAAACACTCTATCAGGTGAAAAATGGTTTTCCACGCTAGACTTTTTAAGTCTGATTTATAAACTTACAGTTGTAGTTATCGCTCGCAGTTTCAGTTCCCGTTGGAAGTTAAAAATATATTTTCACATTTGCGCACTTATATCCTCTGTTGCTGTCACCGTTCACTGTTGTTCATGCCGTTTTCTGACGTTCGGACATAACAAAGTTTTAAATTCTGCAATTCACCGTTCGTGCCGTTCGCATATTAACCAATCAAAAGCCTGGACGTTTGAAAAAACAAAAGTATTCCAAGAATATCTACATAGATATATCCATCCATTTTACTCAGTTAAAAAAGCCTCTTAATGAAAACTCAAAACGAAAATCGTGCAACAATCTGGATGAACGTCAGATTTTTCTTATTTTCTTCCTACTTTGATTTATTTGGCCTAATCGATTAGATTATATCTACTCAGCATACAACGGTGCTAAACGTCAGCTTTATAAATTATGAATATTAATCGCGACTGCAACGTCAAACAAAAACGGGAACAGAAACGATAATGGCGATGGAAACTGCAAATTTATAAATCGACCTTCAAACTGGCAACAGATCACAGATTGCAGGTTCACCCGTTTGGTCTCTCTGTAATGCCCCAGCTACCTTTGAACGACTAATGGAAATGGTTCTGAAAGGATTAACCTGGAAAACTTGTCTAGTATATCTCGATGACATAATGATCATGTTAAAAACTTTTGATAAACATCTAATAAATTTGAGTGAAGTATTTGACATATTAAGAAATGCCAATTTAAGGCTAAATCACAATAAATGTTCAGTTCCAATCGGAAGCCGATTATTTGGGAAACATCGTTTCCGCAGAAGGAATCCAAATTGACCTGAGAAAATTACAGCTGTCAGAACTTGGCTGAAACCAAGAGACAAAACGAAAATTAAGAGTTTTCTTGGAATGTGCTCATATTACCGAAAATTCGTCAAAGACTTTGGCCGAATTGCTAAACCCCTTCATTGACTAACTAAAAACAGTAGTTTATTTGTCCGAGTTGAAAAAGCGACTGACCACGGCACCTATCCTAGCCTACCTCGGGAAAGAGGAGAATTAATTTTGAACTGCGACGCATCCCAACATGGCGATGGCGCCGTGCTATCCCAAGAACAGGAAAGGGAAGAAAAAGTAATTGCGTATTTTAGCAAGATCTTGGGAAAAGCTGAGAAGAATTATTGTGTCACTAGGAAAGAACTTTTAGCTATCGTGAATGCCCTTGAACACTTCCATGACATATCGGGGTAACGAGATTGCAGATCGTCTCGCAAGGAAAGGAGTTCAAACACCCTTTGTGGGACCTGAACCGTTCTGCGGTATCAGCAGTAACACAATATTAGGAGAGATTAAAAAAGAATTGGGCAGTAGAAAAACCGATAATTGGATCAATCTTTGGGGCTAAGATAGGCTAAGATACTTCTGAGTGAATATAACCAGAAAAGATCGGAAGCCTCTATCTGTCTGAGCAAGAACAGACTACGTTTTGTGACAGGGGCTGGGCATTGCCGACTCAAAAGACACCTTAGTAAACAGAATAGTAGAATTTAGTGAGTGCATATTTTGTGAGGAGGAGGACGAAATCTCCATTCACATCCTGACTGAATGTGTAGCACTCCAGAATCCAAGGGCACTAAACCTAGGAGCATATTAAATAGAATAGGGAGATTTACCTAACTTGAAGCCACTCCAAATCCTACACTTCCTTGAGAAGGATTGGAAGGGTCGTTATAGGCATTAAACATGTCCATGCTGCATTAGCGACAGAAGAGGGAACAATAGATCTTTTAGCACCCCACTCCCAACATAACAGCATACTCTAGATCAGGGGTGCTCAAACGGTCGATCGCAAGTACTTTTTGAGTCGATCTCGAGAAAAATTTATTACTGTTACTTAAATGTTTTAAAAACACCTTATTTAAAAACTAATAACACTCAACACAACACTTGCTTTAAATCTCTAACTAAAAGGGAAATAACTCATAAAATAAACATAAAACATATTGAAATGTGACGTTAATATCGGGAAATCGCAAAGTCGAAGTCTGAAAGGTAAGTAATTATCAAAGATTATGGGCGAATTTGAAGGACGTTTTTATGATTTCAGTAAATTATCAAATATCGCATCTTTTATGAGATCTTTTTTCGTTTAAAAACATTGAGGAATCTGCCATTGAAATAGCACATAAACATGAACTCATCTTCTGTTGAAAATGAGGTAGTGCAGATTATATTAGATATTCATATCAAATCCACAGCATCTGATATAAATTCTGGTCTTTTATATCTAAAGATAAATATCCGAATCTAAGACAAATCGCTCTTTAGTTGACGGCAATGTTTTGGTCAACTTGTTCGAGTCTGTGTTTTCTAAAATGAAGATAATTAAGTCAAAATATTACAATATACTAACTGAAGAACATATATGTCATCATGCTTGCGATTAGCACTTTGTAATTACGTACCATCATATGAAACGTATGCTGAAGACATGCAGTGCCACGCTTCAACCTCCAAAGTCATTGGTTTAGTTAAGTTAAAAAAAAATAGAACTCGTTTATTTTGTAAGAACCAATAAACTCGCAAGTTTGAAAAGTATGAGTTTTTTCATTGACTTTTTAGAGCAGATCTACACCTACCTTGATTAAAAAAATGCGGAAAACTAATTTCTGTCCTTTCTACTAATAATTCTACGTACGCGAATTCATGGCCATGAACTTTTACAACGTCCCTATATACGTATACCTGCGCCACGGTACACCCTACCTTCCTAGACGAAAATCCTACATTACACATACTTGCAGCCTCTGAGAGTCGATCGATCGGAGTCCAACAATATTGAGGTAGATCGCCAGACATTCATGTTTGAGTACCCCTGCTTTAGATAAATCTGTGTTTGACTAATTAACAATATTTAAAGCATATTTTTAAGTTTTTTTAAATTTCACCCTGTATTATTCATATAGACCATAAATATTATAGTTCGTTGAAGTCAGCTTATTGAGGTTTCAAAAATATAAGATGATACAGAAAGTACCGACAGTGCTAGACTTACGCCCTGTATAATTTAATTTTAAAGTTGACGTGTCCCAGCGTTTTTTATATTTTTCTAAAATAAGGCCAAAACTAATTTTTTCTACAAGCGTGCAAGAAGTTTATCTTCTCGCACGCAGAGAAATATAAATTGAAAAAAAAGCAAGGTATACTTACCGCCGAGGCCCGGGTTTGAACCGTGGACCTTCGGGTTATAAGCGCGACGCTCTAACGCGCTACATTGAATATACATTTAAGCGAATGTCAAACGTTAATAACAGCGACATGAATCTAGTAGGCAATGATACCGATAATCGTCTTAAACAGTTTTGACAGAACTTTAAGAAAACTCTTATTAAATTTATTCCTGTAATTACTGTTTGCAATTAATTGTTAATTTGTTTAAAGTATTACATCAGCACATAACATCGGTTTAATATATGTATACTTAAACTGTATGTTGTATCTAATGTCATTATACATTTTAATTCTCTATTTTAGAAATAAATGCGCTTATAGAAAAAAATGTTAATCGTAACACGTGCTAGAGGCACTTGTTGCGATAACTACTATTATTCCATAAGTGCATATACTGCAAGTTATAAACTTATTTTTTTCACGTAGCGAGGTTATAAACTGTTTAAGATAATAAAGAGACCAATGGTTAAATGTAAAAAATATTACGATGGATACAAGTCCGACTTAAGACCCAAATATGGTTAAAATTGTAAATTTCTGTATACTGTTATACTTCTATATCCTTTCTTCCGTGTTTTATAGCAATTTTTTCGTAGCAATGGCGAATATGAGTAACTATTTCCCAGTTGATCGGTATTCATATCGATCGTAAATTAAATCTGATTACACGAAAGCAATAGTATTGTATGCTATAATCTATCAACATTTTAAATATGTAGCTCTAGTACAAGGGTGGTTCTATAAAAAGTTAAACACTCTGTACAGAAGGTCTAAAAGTTAATGTAAACATTTTATTTCAGATTATCACAAGGTCATGCCAGATTAATGTACCACGAAAAAGTCCTAGTAATCGACAGTATATACGCTGTGTTCTTGGTTGATTTCTCAATGGATCCCGAATCGTCAATATTTAATTTGAATATGCCATCCAATACAGTATTTCCCCAAAGACCTAAATCTGCATATCGAAATCTTTTAGAAACGGTTTTGTCAAAACTTCAACTTGAACAAATTTTAAAAAACGAATTAGATCAATTGAAAAATGGCGGAGAAAGAGAAGGTATACTGCAGTCGAGATTTTTTGCAAACGCTCAGATTGTTGACAAAAGTGGTAGTTATGACAAACATGCAGAAGTAATAGCCACATCTAGTACAAGAAATGAAAATAAAGCGCAAGAACAGAATGTAACCGAACGTGATAGTAAAAGGGTTGTTAGTGAGGAATATAATACAAATGACAACGAAAATAGAGACGAAGAAGAAGCAGCAGCAAAAAATATAAACAAAAGTGCAACGAAATGTGATTCTAACAAAGATAACTCGAAGAAAATATTTATAATTCAGGATATAACAATCAGGAGTGATAATGAATCAAAAAAAGACAACGACAAAAACATGAATATCGGTTTTGAAAACACTAGTGTCGGTAGCGATGCCATTACTACTAATTCGAAAACACCCAAATTATCAAAAAAGAATCCTCTGAAAAGATTTAGTTTCAAATCCACTAGCGTGAATAACGACATAAAACTGCTAAAGGAGATTCCAAGTGTAAATGACGGATTTTGTGCGGATTTGGATTTGGACTGGGAGAGTGAAGGAGTAGTTGAAAATAGTCAGAGTTCTATAAAACTAATAGATAGTAAAAGGGTTGTTAATAAGGAAAATAATAAAAATGATAACGGAAATAGAGCTGAAGGAAAAGCAAAGAATATAGGCAGACATGATGCCAACAAAAAAAACCCTGAGAAAATAAATAAAAATCACAATAAAACAGTCGGGAATGCAAATATGAAAGAAAAATTACAGGTTGAATATAAAAGTCATAATAATGAAAAAAATGTAGAGCTAACAGCCAAATATAGTAGAAGCGGTAAAAATGAAGGACAACAACAAAATGTAAGCAAATATGTTACTAAAAAGGTTGTTAATGAAGACGCTAATAAAAATGATAACGGGAATGGAGCCGAAGAAAAAGAGAAGAATATAAACAACAATGCAAAGAAATGTGATTCCAATAAAGAAAATCCGACGAAAATAAATGAACATCATAATAAAATAGCCAATAATTATAATGAAACAGAAATAATTAACAAAAAACATGAAAACGTCAATATCTGTTTTGGAAACACTAGTGTTAGTAGCGATGACATTACTACCAATTCGCAAAATTCAAAATTATCAATTAAGAATTCTTTGAAAAGATTTAAGTTCAAAGCAAGTAGAGTACAAAACGACACGAAACTACCAAAGGGGCTGGACTGGAATAGTGACGAAGTAGTTGAAAATAGTCAGAGTTCTATAGATAGTAAAAGGCTTGTTAATGTGGATGCTAATAAAAATCATAACGGAAACAGTGCAGAAGAAGAAGCAGTCAGGATTGCAAGTATAAAACAAAAATCTCAGTTTGAAGATAAATGTGGTAGTAATGACAAAATTGTAGAGATAACAGCCAAATATAGTAGAATAGAAAAAAATGAAGGACAACAACACAATGTAAGCAAACATGATATTAAAAGGGTTATTAATGAGGACGCTAATACAAATGATAATGGAAATAGAATTCAAGAAAAAGTAGAGAAGAATATTAAAAATTCAATGAAATATGATTCTAACAAAAAAAATTCGAAGGAAATAAATGAAAAAGAAAAACATAACGTCAATATCTGTTTTAAAAGCACTAACGGTAAAAAAACTGAATACAGTATTAACGATCAGAAGAAAAAAACTATTATCGATGATGACATTACTAACAAATCGAAAAAACCAAAATTATCAAATAAGAATTCTTTGAAAAGAATTAATTCCAAAGCAAATAGTGTGAATAATGACATGGAACTGTTAAAGTGGGTTCCCAGTGTAAATGACGGGTTCTGTGCTGATTTAGATATGGACTGGGATAGTGAAGGAGCAGTTGAAGATAGTCGGAGTTCTATAAAACTCATAGATAGTAATGCGTCTTCGCATTCTAAATTAAGTAATTTAAGTATTTTTAATTCATGTGAAGATATGGATTTTGATATTTAAATATAGTATTTTATGTTTGTTGTTTTATAAATAAATATATTTTTTAATTTTGTAGTTGAATTCTTTTCTTTGGGGTTGAAATAAGGCATGATTTTTATAAAACTTTTTATTTATTAACTAAAAAAACTCCGAGGATAAGGTGAACAGTTCTCGACCTGACACAGAGATGCGTTCCAGTCAGCAAAAATTTGTTTCCTGCATGGGTGCACGTGTCAATAGTTCATATGACAAGTTTCAAGTTGCTCTCTTAAATAGTGTGTTTACACGAATTTTTGCAGTAGACGTCTTGCGTGTTTTTCGTTAAAATGAATAAACTTGAATATCGGGCGGTCTTAAAATTTTTCGTTTTGGATGGATTAACCCCTAAGGAAATTCATCAGAAGTTGAAAAAAGTTTACGGGGATTCCTTCCATGTCAACCGTTAAAAAGTGTGCAGCTGAATTTAAACGTCGCACGTCCCTCGAAGATGACCCTCGTGAAGGACGGCCAGAAACCGCCACCACACCGGAAACCATCGAAAAAGTGCATGATATCGTGTTGGACGATAGGTGAGAACTGAGGCTGTGAGGATATCGGAAGAAAGGGTGCGAAACATCTTGCACAAAAAAGTAGGGATGCGAAAGCTTTACGCAAGATGAATACCGCATTTGCTGAATGCCGATCAAAAGCAAATGCGCAAACAATTTTCGAAGCAATGTTTGGACCGATTCAATAGAGATCCCACCGATTTTGTGCGGCGATTTGTCACTATGGATGAGATCACTACACGCCAGAAACGAAACGGCAGTCCAAACAGTTGGTGGTTCAGCGCCAAAGAAAGTCGATCGTATCTGCCGGAAAGGTTATGGCCAGCGTGTTTTGTGATGCGAAAGGGACCCTGTTAATTGATTGCCTTGAAAAGGCAGAACAATTATAGGCGAACATTACTCTCAACTCTTTTGACCAGCTAGATGCGAAAATTCGCAAGAGGGCTGGCTTGAAGAAAAAAAAATCTTTTACCAGGACAACGCACTTCCGCACAAGGGTGCGTTGGCGATGGTGAAACTGCGAGATTTGGGGTACGAGCTCGACCATCCCCCTATTCTCCTGATTTGGCACCCTCAGACTACCATCTGTTTCCAAACTTGAAGAAAAATGTTTTTGGTAAGCGCTTCGCATAGGGGCGTCTACTCTTTAAGGCTTCATGGCCGAGCGCACTCTCCTCATAAATTCCAGAGAATAAAATCCTAATTAAAAATATGCATTTTATAATTTTTCCTATCGTCTCGAGACAGGCTATGAGTATCCCCTCCAAATCCTTTCTATAATAACGATTTATAATTTTTTTGACGACTCTCGTCGGTCGCAGCAATATAGAGGCCCACGTCACTATGGAAACGGAGTGGGACTCGCGTTAACCAGTACATCTACTCTTTTAGTGTTTTATTTTTTTTAAAGTGGTTTTATAATTTTCACGGAATTTTTATGAAGCACCATGGTAAATGTTAGACTGGACCCCTTAGCTATGCTATTAATATATAGAAATTAAGTTCTGGAGATAAATAATTCGACGAAGCAGATTTCAATTTCTGGAAGTCATATCATGAATTTTCGTAAAAACTGAAATTAAAAACTAAATATGCCGATTTTCCTGTTTGATATATTTTAGAAAAATTATTTTTGTAAGACGTCTTACTATAAGAAATATATTTCATTTTGTTTATTGTCTATTGACAAGGTATAGTGTGGTATTTTTCTATATTAAGGAAAACAATTCAATAATCCCTACCCTCAAACCAATTAGCGCCCCCCTACCTTCGCAGCTCACGGGCCGCCACTGACTTCGCATCTAATGAAGAAATTGAGAGCCGTAGATGAATATTTTCACGTCCTTCCAGACTCACTTCCGGGAATACTGATGTTGGAGAAACGCTGGACCAAGTTTTTCCATTGCTAATCGGTTGCGTAGGTCGGAATGTACTAACCTGGAGGATGAAAATATTCTTTCCACACCTGCTGTCATCAGTTTAATGTTTCTTTGTGCTGCAGGATCTATTGAAAATGTTGACATCTACCAGTCAATGTCTGCTGTCATGTTTGAAATAACAGTCTTGCATCAGAACCTGATTATACTAGTACAGGATACGAAACAAGGTCGACCTTCGCTCATCTGCTTACTGGATGAAAGTGATTTTTTATTAAATAAAATATATTTATAAATATACCGCAAATGGGTAGCCTAACAAAATACTATCAATGTTATTTTTTACTTTCCTTTCTGTATACAGATAAGGAAAGTATAGGAATCAAGATGCTTGTGAAGTCATTCTCTATCATTTTTGACCTATACATGATTTCCCTAAAGTGGACCGTATTCGAGATATTTTAGAAAAAGTGCAAATTTCGAATTTTGTAGATTACTAAAAAGGATAAAGAGAAAAACACCAACTTTTAAAGTAAAGCTTTAATCCATCCTGCGATATATATGGTGTATTTTTTTTACTTTAAGAAAATAAATAGCCTTGACAGTATTTTCTTAGGCAGCCTATTTGCGGTATATTAATTAACATTTTATTTGATAAAAAAAATACCTTCCATCCATTAAGCAGATGGGCGAAGGACGACCTTACTTCGTATCTTAGAATATATCCAAATGCAAAAGATCGGAGACTGTCGAATGAAAATGTTTGGTTTCAACAAGACGGGGCAACATCCCATTATGCTGCACATGTATGAGCTTACCTTAACGAAATATTTCCCAATAAATGGATTGGACGAAGCGGTACTATTAAATGACCAGCTGGATCACCAGATCTTAGGCTATCGGTTTTTTTGTGGGGTTATCTCAAGAATAAAGTATATGCAACACAGTCAATTAGAATTGCAGATCTCGGAGAAAGGATGACAACAGAAATACGGAATATTTCATCTCAAACTTTAAAAAATGTCAGGCATGAGTTTTATAACACATTGGCTTATTGTCAAGATTTAGGCGGAGAATATTTTGGGCATGTACTTTAATCAATTAAGTATTTTATGTATTTATTTTCATAAAGGAAATAATAATTATTCATATAGAGACTATAAATATTATAGTTCGTTGAAATCAGCTTATTAAAGAGCCTTCAAAAATATAAAATGATACAGGGTGTTCCATTGAAAAAATAGTACCGACAGTGCTAGACTTACGTGAATCACCCTATATATTTAGTTTAAAAGTTTATATGTCCCAGCGTTTTTTATAATATTCTAAAATAGAGCCAAAAATAATTTTATTACATAAGTGGTTTCCACACTGTTGTTATCTGTAGGTCATAATTCAGAGTTTCCTTATTTTAAGTTCATTGTTTTTCAATTAACTATTAATTATGATTATTCTTAGCTAATTTTAAATTAAAAGACTTACCATTTGAAACCGCTCATTCCTCCTAAAACAACGTACAGGAAATGTTAATAGAAATCAAAATGAATAATAAAATATTAAGATAGGTCGCACATTTACGTCAAAAATTACAACTCAAAAAATCACATCTTTTCACCATCTATCAAAATTGTTTTGAACGTATCCGAGTGGGGTCCCAATATTACCTGCCTTTAAAAAAGTTTGGGTTGAATTCTGTCCCGAAGAAGATTAAAAAATTGAAAAGTTTGGCCTTGTTGCCGCACTTCCAAATTTATAAATATAGGGACTTATGTAGGAGTACAAAAAAATTACCTATACAAATTCAAACCTTTAATGAATTCTTTATAACTTATAAAAACAGTACTAACTAATTAAAACTACAACTATCTTATTTTCTCGTTGTTCCTGAATTTTCGCATCAAAAAACTGCCTTTTTAATTTAGTTTTTTGGCTTTCTACTTTTATAACGCTGGGCAACACTATTTATTTTTACTTAGGTTTCCAGTTGAAAATCTAATAACACTTTCATAAATTGGTGAATATTTGGGTGGGCTGATGAATTAAATTGGTTATGAAGAGTCACAAGTATTGGTCGTATGCCGAATGGATGATGAGTGTACAGCCCACACTTGGGGTGGAAACTTGGAATTTCCATCAATGTAATTATCGACTAAATAATCAGAAAACTTAAAACCAGCTTATTTTGTGGTAAAAAAGAGGCAAAATCAATACCAAAACAATCACCTACATCCTCTGGGGGTAAAAATGGTAACCCAAAAATAGATGTTAAATATTTAGTTATTTGATGCTTCATTTTGTTTTTAACACGCTTATATTAGCTTCACCTGTATGTATGTATGTATGTTTGTAACTCTCCTTTGGACTCGATGGCTTATTACTGTCAGTATATCCCACTAAGTCAAGTTCGTTCGTTGGCCGAGCGGTCTAAGACGCAGGTTTTCGATTGCCAGACTCACCGATCGTGGGTTCTAATCCCCACGGCTGAAAAAAAATTACAATTTTTTTTATAATTAATCGAACTAAAAAGTAAAAAATAAATATATTTTAATAAAACTAAGAAACACGCTTTTATAATTAATCGAACTAAAAAGTGAAAAATAAATATAGTTTAAAAAAAAACTAACAAACACGCTTTTAGAGCATATCAAACTAAAAAGTTAAAAATATTTTTTTAACACGCTTTTATTCAAATAAGCTTGAAACAATAATAAATGGAAAATACTAGTATTATTGTGAAAAAAGCGTGGGGCGCTTTGTCCATATTTCTAATACTAGTATTTTCTATTTATTATTGTTTTAAGCTTATTTGAATAGAAGCGTGTTAAAAAAAATTATTTTTAACTTTTTAGTTTGATATGCTCTAAAAGCGTGTTTTTTAGTTTTTTTAAACTTTATTTTTTTATATTCGCAAGACAAACCAAGTTGTTGTATTTTCCTGTACCATGTCTGGCATAAGTGTAATTAATCTGCGTTATAGCAGAATGAATAGCATATTCAAAATCTACAGTAGGTAATGTTTCGTGGA